TTGCACACCGCTTAACTATAGCTAATATCCAACCCAGAAAAAAATTACTATCATAAAACGGGATGCCATGGGATGGTACCCGTACGTCCACTTGACATTCCATTGATGTGCCCAACCCAACCAACCCTTTGGTTGGAAAGTGAAAAAGTTGAAAAAAATTGTACATAAAGCTGTCTCAAGTGCATGCGCGCCAAAGAAATATTGCAACAGTAACAACATCGTAAAAAGCGTGTTCATTAAACGCCATTTTGATACTAGTTACCAGTCCAGTAATATTTTTTATATTATGCTAATGCTAAAGAGTAACATTTCACATTAGTATGTTAATGGTAGGCATGGCGGGGAAGATGCAATTTGCATCCGGTACCAGAAAAAATCTTGTTGCATAACATTATCCGAGGAGTAATTCGTCTTCTATGTGCTTCCTAGACGGCAAGTGAATTGATTATACACGGGGTTGGACAAATTATCATAACTACATATTTATTATAACGGCTGGAAGACAATTCATTGCTCTGCATGGGGTACAAATTACTATTTCTGAATTTTTTTATTTAAAGTTTCAAGTTTTGATTTCTCACGATTTTAAAAATTTATATTTTACGATCTGTTGAATTTCCACGTAACAAATGACGGTCTAATGAGTAACCCCTTCAATGACCATTTATGATTACAATCTTGTTTGCTTTCTGGGAAGGGTTGACCGCTGGCGAAGAAGTGTCTACTGTCTATCATTTGATGGAATTGTGTGTAGTCTATATTTGCATAAGACCTCAGACTTTGTAGTGTCTAATATCATAGTCGCATCTCGTGTGGGTCATTGCGTCGGAATACACAGACCACCCCTAAGTACACATCATGCACACACCCCAGTTGGAGATATGACGCAATACACATATTGCCTTTTTTACGACGACCCGTATTTTGTGTGTTTAGCGTTGTTTCTGGCGGCTAGACCGGCACAAATTTGATTTTGTTTATTTTTTTTTATGCCATGGGGTGCGGGTTGCACAACTGCATGGATGTTGAGTTGTGGGATGAATAATGTCCCCGTTGAATTTAACTGAATAGTTGTGTAAACAATAGCGATGGTGTAATCGTTTACGTCCAGTTAGCTGGAACGAAATTTATTGATATAGCTGAGGATGAGTATAACTTATCAATTTTTTTTTGTTCTAGGTACGTTCCTTTGCTGTTTTCCATGGATATAAGGTAATTAAGCACTATTCTTGGTGGTACTCTTCGTACTCCTGAGATGCTGTTTATTATTTGCTCGTTTGTATGATCTAAACGTCCTAGAAAGTCAATTGTCCAGTGAAAAGGGTTCAGAATGGTAACAAATGTGATTGTCGCGTTAGAATGGTGGAAAACAAGACTTCATCAAGCGAAACCGTCGCCGGTGACCCTTGACGAATGTCAAGTAAGCATTGCCCCGAAATCCTAGACAGCGCGCGCGCACAATGTCCATCAAATTTTCATTGCGACCACACGAAAGCGCCGCGCGCGTCTTCTCGCTTTCATTCCACTTCGTTTTTGGGTTTGGGTAGTGCCTTTTCATTTGCGCCCATTACCATCGGATAGTGGTGGTGTGACAGCTGCGTATGCGCACACAGAAATCCATGGAACGTAAGACGATGTTTCTACAAACGTTACAAATACGCCATTGTACCTGACGCATTGTTCTTTTTTTGAAATACGCCGGCAACTTCAGGTTCTCTCCGGGACTTGCTCTACTCGTTGCCGTTGATCAGCAAGTTTTTTTTTTTCTGTACCTTGACGTCGGGTGTTGTTGCGCAACGAAATAGTCATAACTCCGCATCGAGACGATTTTTGACGGACTGTCAGCCTCGATTATTGTTATGTTTCTCACGTGCCCTTTGCTCCTATAGAGCAGCTAGTACCTAGGTGAATACCATCACTACCGGAATTTGTTTTGATGCGGAACTAGAGTGACGTGACGTGGGTACCATGCAGGTACCACGAAGTGATTAGATTCACATTCATCAATCGTTTCAACAAACCCTTTTTATTAACAGATTATCAACAATTTCATTAAACAGTTTTTGACCTAATCCGTTATTCAAATAGTAAGCCAGTTTATTTTTTGAAGGTGTACTCGTAGTGTTTGTGTTTGCGATTAAATTATAGTTTCCCTCAACCGCGAAGCCAACGTGCGGTAAATTTAATCGGATTAGAGTTTGTTAGGCAACAAAACGACAGCACGCCTGCACGATTTGATTTGCATCTCAATAACTGATTGATTATACGCACTTTGTCAGTGCCACTTGAAAATGAAAAACGCGCGGGAATTAGCGAGGAGGTACCCGTTGGTTGCTGTGTCTGAAAGTCTGACTTGGCTCTGAAATCATTCGTGTGTGTCTAACCTTTGGCCCCTTTTTCTCTTCTCATCGCTTCCTCTTCCGGATTGCGTCTATTCATTCCGAAATCTTGCTCTTCTTCTGCGGCCATACCAGCTTACTTACTTATATTGTGTTATATTGTGTATCCGTTGGTTGTGCACATTGGACAGGACAGGAGCGAGAGTCTAATCTAAACTGGGTCTACCCGATTCATTCCCCTCGCTTTTGCTACTTTGTAAATTTTGTGCCTTAGACAAGCACACCATCTCTTTCTACAGCAGAATTTGTTTATTAGATTAGGGAGCCATGCCCCTGGCATGAAGCATATTTTAACATTTATGAAAAGAAAAAAAACTTGTTACGCGCATGTAACACCTTGTATGCATTTTCGACATACCGTGCGAACCGCCCAATTTTCGGACGTATTTATGCGATTTCCGTAATCACACACGACAGCCGGTTGTTATGCAAGTTATGAACTTGAACCTGGGAGGAACGCACTTTATGCGGAAGTAATTGACCCATTATTGGATTACGGGAAGAAATAATTGCGCACAGCCTCGCAATAAACAAGCATTCAAGCAAAACATTGGATTATACTTTATATTTTTACTCCAAATGTAACCGAAATTTATTGAATTGATAGAATTATATTGTCAACTTTGATTTTTTTAATTGTATTGAAAAAAACCGTATCAGATGTCGTGTTAGATGTGAAAAAATCAATTAATCTCCAACGGTGGTTTAATCACAATGGTATATGAGAAGGGTGCGCCGCAACGAAATTCGTTTTTGGGCATTTTTTACCTTTTTTGGTTGCTTTTTTGCACATGACAACCTTGGACAGTTTACAAATTACTGGTAAACCAATCTCTTTTGATGTTAAAAAGCCACCGTGACATTTTATACCAAAAATGCCGTTTTTATCGTTTTTTAATATTGACTTTTAATCAAGTTTTTTTCTCTTGTTAGTATTGATTTTATAACTGCAAACGCATCGAATCGTTTGTTTGAAATGTACAATTTTATGTGATTTATACAAAATAGTTCCCGAAAAACTTTCGACTATTTCCGCTGTGTAGAAAAAGTTTTATCGCTTTTTTAGGGGGATACTTACGTGCATTTTATGACGACGTTTCGATGATAATTCTTTCTTCTTATGTCTACCGTAACTGTGGTGAATCTTCCCTTTATAGCCCATTGTGTATGATATTAAATTCTATTTGGTTGATTTGTTGATACTTGAAATTTTACTTTCAAAACATTGTTATGTATTCATTTTTACGCAGTGCAATGATGATTTGATGCTTTCATAATGAACCTATCACATATTGTGTTACAGTTATGAGTTGCACTTTTAATTTTTCAATGAAGTGGAATTTTTTTTTTCGTACGCTAACGTTCGATATTTAATCAAGTTGAAACTATACGATTAAAAATTGTACAATGATCGGTTTATCCTGTAATCTTGCGGTGTTACGACCGCATAGAAATCATTTTTGACGAATATTGGAAACGAGCGTTAGGGATAAGTTATAACCAGGGGATTACAAGACGCCCTGCAGCGCTGCGCACATCCTAGTTCAGGATGTGAGTATATTACTCACCCTTGGTGGATGTTGATATCCCGCCTCGTCATTGTCACGTCTGTCACAATGACTCTGCACAGATAGACACTCATCGCTGATGATTCTTCTAAATCTTTTAAAACGCAGTTTTAAGAAGCTGTTTTTATTGTAGATAAATTCACACATTTCTTTGTATATTCTCAGCCGAGTTGTCATCGACTCAGCGGGATATTTTTTTAATGATGTTAATGATAAACATTTTTTGACCTTCAGTTCCGGCGTAAGGAATTTTTAATTCATGCCCTTGAAAATGCAAAAAAAAATTAACATTTAGGTCACTATCACGGATAAACAAAATATTAAATTACAAAGGGTTTTGGGAGTTACGTTTGTTATGCGAAAACACTATAACTGTGACACTAACGTATTTTGCACCTTGATTTATTCACCATTTAAAATTATTTCAGACATATGAAATATTTGCGATTTTACTTTGACACCATTATTATCGAAACTGATTTGCATGCGCCGTATGCATACTTGGCGTAGACTTTTAAGTTTCTATGAATTTCCACGCTTGACGTAACACACAAGGGTGGAAGATTCAAGTGTCGTTCCTTCGTTTATGACTGGGAGTGAAAATGAAAAAGTACGAGAAGAGCAAATACGCCGCGATCTATTTTCTATGATCGAGGACGGTTTGTGTGCGTCCGCACCAATTAATCATTGCATTGGCACTGAGCGAGCATAAAGCTTCATCCATCTTTACATTTGTGCTTTTTGAAAAGAAGCAGAGCACACACGCTGGACAAACGTCCTTAGATACTTTTTTTTTTCTGGAGTTTCTGAAAGCATAGGGCTAACAAAAAATCAATAATGATTCAGAATTTCAATTTCTCAATGTCCGTGAATAATTATATGGAATCGCGTCTTGTTTGCATAAAAAAAATCCAGGTGTAATATAGAAATACTCTAGTTGTTGATAATTTCAAGGCAAATTATTACACTTGACAGCGTAGATAAAACAAAATAATTGGTCTGCATTCCAGCGTTGAGGTATTTCCTAGCGGAAAATATTATTTATTGCTAAAGGAAATTAAACGTAAACGGTGTTTAGTTGAGTTGTTTCCATCGTGACACCATAGTCAAAATAATATTAAAAAAGTGCGCAATATGTGGAAATTATTCCTTGATGATTATTCAGGTTATATAATAAAATATAAAATATAAAACTAGTATTATGAAATTATAAGAATTTCTAATTAATTTTTAGATAAAAGATTGAGTGATTATCCGCTCATGGGTAATTGCTCGACACTGATCGGAATAGTGGCGTGTTATTTACTTTTTGTGCTGAAATTAGGCCCGGCTATGATGAAAAATCGTCCGGCGTTTAATCTACGCACAGTTTTGCTTGTTTTCAACGCTGTGCAAATCATTATGTGTTTGTATATCATCACTATGGTAAATATTAACTATTCTGGATGATAGTACAAATAGAATTTTATATTTATTTGATTATTTTAGATTGTTAAAACTATTCCGTTGAATGCTTTCACTTGCATGACGAATCAAACGACAAGTCCGAGTGATTTGGTTTTATTGAATGTCTCATACCTTTATTGGGTTATTAAGCTTATTGATTTGTTTGATACGGTAATGAAATGGTATATTAAGTACCTATGAAGTGGCTAAACGAACGTTTTTGTTTAACAACGTTTAGCTTACGCTATTTTTTCTACTTCCACTTTATTTCTACATTGCAAGGCAAATGCGCAGACGCATGCTCCATTCCGTGACTAAAGTACTTTACGGTTGTTCGTGTTTAAAGTGCCACATTTTATGTCTTAAAACCGTGAAAAAACAGGCGTTTTAAAGTTGGAAGTAGAAAAAACCTATTTTATTTTTAATTTTTGAAGTTAATATTTTAAATTTTTAGATATTTTTTGTTTTACGTAAAAAATTCACGCAAATTTCAACGTTGCATGTTTACCATCACACTTTGATGGTTTCCGTTGGCTGGATAATTAATAAATATTATCCTGCCGGTGAATTAGTGTGGCTAGGATTACTCAATAGTATCGTGCATGTTTTCATGTACTTTTATTACTTTTGTGCGGTGATGTTCGATGGCAAAATTACTATTTGGTGGAAAAAGTATATCACACAAGCACAAATCGTAAATATTAAATATTATTATTTTAAACTTTTTTAACCAATCATTTTAATATTTATTATTATTTTAGTTACAATTTATCACACTGGGTACAATTTACACAATAAAACTATTCGATTCAACTTGTGAGTACCCCAAAGGTATGCTGGTATTCCATCTTGGTCAAGTATCTCTTTTGTGTTATATGTTTGTAAATTTTTATTACAACGCATATATCAAGCAGAAAAAAACAACAATTAAGAAAGTAGATTAAATTTTTAAAATTTTTCGTTGATAATGTACTAATGATAAAATAAAGTTACACAAATTATTCTATTATTTCACTTTTTTAATTTTATTTTTTATTTCAACGCGTTTCCACACTAGACTGGTGAACTGGTTCTGATGACACAATTTATTCCATCATTAATAAATCATTGATTTAATATTCGCGCAGGTATATATATAAGCAAATATAGTCGATAGTCATTCTTAGTTACAGTTTTCGAGTGATTAGATTACGTAGAATAAGTTTTAGTGTTTCACATTCAACATGGATCGTCTTTATGATATTTACGATACTCTCATATATAAATATGCAGGTATTTTTAATTCAATCATATTATATTTAAAAAAAAATTAAAATTTTTAAAAATATTGCAGATCAACGAATAATTTCGTATCCCTTAATGGGATCACCTTTTCCAATTATTATAATAATGTCTGCTTATTGGTATATGATTAAGAATGGTGAAAAATGGATGGCGAATAGACCCGCGTATAATATCAAATTTTTCATTCAGACATACAATATTCTACAAGTATTAGTATGTGGATTTCTTGGTATTAGGGTAGGTCATCTATTTTCTTATAAATAATAAATTTTTTCTACTTTTTCCACGGTTTTGAGACACGAAACATGGCATTTTAACAACGGTCGTGACTAAAGTGCCGCTTAGCGCACTTGATACTCAATCTACTTTTATCTATTTCCACATTTAAAGCGCTACTTTTTCTACGGTTTTAAGTCACGAAAAGTGACTCTTTAATCACGGCCGTGACTAAAATTCTTTAATCTCGTGGTACTTAATATACTATACGAATTTTAATCTTTCAGGCGCTTCATATAATCTTACAAAGAGACTTAGTCTGCATAACACATTTCACCGACTCTGAATATGACCTGAAAGTAATTTTCTACACCTGGTTGTACTATTTAATCAAAATCAGTGATTTACTAGACACAGTTTTCTTTGTTTTGCGTAAAAAATTCGCGCTTGTTAGTACTTTACACACCTACCATCATACTCTGATGGTGGTTGGGTCGTACGCGTTGGCGCGGTACCTCCCTGGTGGTGAGATGGCTGTTATGGGTACCCTCAACAGTCTGGTTCATTCCGTCATGTATTCCTATTACTTTTATTGTCTTTACAATAACAGCAGGCAGAATATCTGGTGGAAGAAGTACATTACTCAAATGCAATTGGTAATTATTGATTTTGCCTTATATTTATTTACATTTCTACAAATATTACACCACACGATATTTTTTCTCTAGGGGCAATTTTGTTTCCTGCTCATATTCTACACATGGAAATTATTCTTCGTGAAAAATTGCGCTTATCCAAAATTATATCTGGTTTTCGCAATCATTCAAATCCTGGCGATGTTGAACATGTTTGGAAACTATTACTATAACGCTTTCATCAAAACAAAACCCGCACAACCTGCGAAGGGCGAGGTGAACAACAATAAAACAAAAAAAGTCAACTGATAGACAAATGAAATATTCTCTGTAAATTAATAAATTAATATTAAATATTTACTAGTAGTCTACTAGTCTATAGACTATTGTATTTAAATTTCTGCGTGTTTTCGCGAATAGTTCAAGGATATTCCGCCGCCATCGCGACCTCATTATCATAGTCTATTAGCCGTGAAGTGGTCACAGTGCGTCGGTTTTTTGGACCATCTGTCAAACAGTATTAGACGCGCTAAATGGCGTGTATAACAGTTACCCTTTTACTTTTGGCGTTTCATGCGTTGTGTGTTTGATATCGACGGGGTCAGTGGTCAGTACGCGTGCGGCGCGCGTATGCTAATTATATGTTCGGGGGTTGACCATGTTGCATGTTGCAGAATAGAGAATATCGCGCGAATGCATCCGCCCCTCAGGTGCTGCGTGCCGCGTTGATTTCATCAACCGAATTATATTATAATAGTGGACACGCGCGCCGGGGTGCGCGAAAAAGGCACCATTGCACGCCCACCTTGATTTTTAGGTTTTGACAATAGTAATACACCATTAGGGGTGAATATTTTACTTAAAGTTAAACTCTTGCAGTTTAATCTAATAATGTGTGCAAGCTGCACGATTTTCATTCTTACAACATTAATTAATATTAAGTTATTGTCAACGTATTCAAGTTCAATTTGAATATTATCTCTTAACGACGTGACGTGACACGTGGCGCCTTGCAACGTAAAGAAATTTAGATAAGAAAATCATTTGCATATTTCCATTCAATATGGCGGACTTATAAGCGTGACTATTTTATCTCACCTGAATTATCTATGCGTCGATGAATATATTAACGATGTAACAATTTAAATATTAAGCGTTTCAACTTTTTTTTATTACTATTGCGCATGCGCGTCCAAATTTGTCAAACCTAATTTATCCGAATTAAAGCATGCCACCCTCTGGCATTGTATATGCATTTTTTCTGCTGGCATTGTTCAATGCAGTTATTATTACTTGATACGAATCGTATTGATGCCCCATGCGAGTATTAAACGTGTTGATTATGCGGCGCTCCACGTGGCCGTATCATCAGCGCTCATAATTGCGCATTGCGCGAGTAACCGCCGTGTGTGCTGGGAAGGGAGACGCCGATGTGAAACTGTAACAACATATGCTCGGCTCGCGAATGAATATTAACATGTTATCAACGTCCGAACAACGAGGCACGCGCGACTTGTCGAACAATAATGGGTGCTTAATCATTCATTCAATGATGCTAGCACATAGGTACTAGCAGTTTTTGGCCGGTGTGCTTATTAAATTACAATTGGTACATGAATAATTACTGTTCGGTTATTGTGTAGCTTATAATAATAAGTGCTAGTACTCAACTATGAATTATAGGGTTAGAATAGAGTATTATCTAATTTTTATAGCAATATTATAACAAAAAACGTTTATTTTTTGATTTAAAATTTTTTTGAAGTTAAAAATAGCAATTTTTTTATTTTATTACGTATAATATCTAGTTTTTATTCGGAATTACAATATTTTATTATTAGTATTTATATGTGGGATTCTTGGTTTGGGGGCAGGTTGTCTATTTTTAGATATAATATTTATTAATTTTGATGTTTCATGCGGTTTATATTGCATAACACATTTCGCCGAATCTGAATATGACATGGAAATAATTTTTCTTGCGTCCACCTTTAAAGCGCCAGTATTTTCGCGGTTTTTAGACAAAAATGGTACTTTAAACACGGGTGGCTAACGCCGTGACTAAAGTGCCGTTTAGCGCAAATTCAATGATTTTTAGGCTTTGTTTTCTTTATTTTGTGTTGAAAATTTGTAAAACGTTATTTTTTGTTATAATTTTTGGTTTTTAATTTTCTAGACTTAAAATTAACAATTTTTTGCTTTTTTATTCGTAATTATTTATTATTTTGTAAATCCTCAAATTACAAGCTATAATTTCTGTGGGAATATTGCAATACAAGTATCTAAAGCCTAATCTGCACAATTACAATCTCCTATCCGATTTGCAATTGAACCCGTTCATCTCCCAATATCGCACGCCCAATAAAACCAAATAAAATTCGATACCGATCATAAATATCAAACTTTATCGGTATGACGATACGTGTAATGATCTAATGGTTATCTGGCGGCCATCTACACTTACCTACCTCTACTTTCCTCCGTACCTCTCTGTGCTCACATTGTGAATCACACGCAGGTATTAGGAATTTATTGGTGCAGAAGAGGCAATGAATAAATTATTCTGCATTACGTGTGTCGCTTCGCCGCTGACACAAGCCTTCGTTTTGCCACCGTTGTGTTCCACTTGATCGGGTTTAATTTCACAATCGATGATCTATGCACTACCGGTGCTTATTCTGGTTTAACCTGAAGTTTACAGTCGAAGGTAAAACCTCCGAATCTCGCCGTCTGACGACGAGACCTATGACAAATTAGAGTGAGTTATGGACGTGCAGTGTGCAGAGTTTGAAAGAAACTCCACGCGCAAATGTCGAGCGTGTATTATTTTATGCGCCATTACTGTTGCACGTCTTGTAAACTTGTAAATTTTGAAATATTGCATTTTACATTTTTCACGCTTATTGATTTTGTATAATCGCATTATATTTGTGATTTTTGACTTTCATAGGTAAAAATCCAGTGCTTTGAGTTGCGGTATAAAAACCGAACATACACCAACGTATTTTCTGTTATATTAATTTTATATCAAATTTTATTCACATTTCACAATCATGAGTAGAATATCTACTAATGTATATTTAATTGTTTTATTTGTGCGTTATGATATTAAACGGTCGTTTAACCCTTCGGGGGTGAAAGTTACGTTTCCGATATAACGGAAACACGTAACTGATTTCCTAGACAAACTAGAATTCGATACACATTAGCATGCGCTATGTTTGTATGTGTTTTTAATGTCGCGTCATTTGTGTTTGTTAATCGTTGGGTCAGTACAGAAAAAATGAAGCACCAGGTGACACACATCGCGACGCGACATGCCCATATGTGGCATACATGTTAATAAAGTAATAAATTCATTAGTTCTCTTGGTTTCGCGGTTGGTTTCTGTCTTGCTTCGTTGAGTGACGTCTTGGGTAATTATTGAATTGCGGCCGAAAGGGGTTGAAAGTCATTTTATGTTTATAAATAAACGTTATATGTAAATATTTGTCACACAACATGTGATGGAGTGTTTTTAGTGCCTGCGATGTCGTTACAAAAGAAAATAAATTGAATTAATGAGCGTTCAACTTGGCTTGCAATTTGCATTAACTTTCCTTTGGATACTTATGGTTTTTTCAATGTTGAGCATCGTTAATTAGACGGCTAATTTAATTAGCTAATTAGCTACTCGAGTTTTCTTCCGCTTACTTCAATTTTCATTAATTTTTTCGTTGCGAGAACATCTGCTTTGTACAATAAGTGCTTTTAGTTTAAGATTTATGATGATTCAACTTTATTTTTTATACTTTTAGCTTGGATTTTATTTTTTTGGGATTTTTGTTCGCTGGCAGCTGATTTCAAAATTCCGCCGAAAGCAATCAAGCTGCGGTAGTGATCACATGCCCTTTCGTGACAAACGTTGGACGCTTTTCAATTCGGTAGCCGGGCCACGTCTGTCTGGTCACTGATTTGTCACTTCATTTACAATGCTAATGCAAATGCGCCGCGTTGCGCCCCGGGGCTAAAACAGTGGAAAACGTGATTTATAAAATAAACTCGCCGCGTATGCCAAGCTACTAAATACAAACCGAAACGCGACCGAAAATTTCGTCGCCATACCCTCGGCACACAACAAAATCCAGTCATTATTCCTCAACATCCTTTGAAAAACCAAATATATTACCAAATATAATTTTCTTTATAGTATGGTGCATGTCACGACATTTTTACTTTGAGGTTTACGCATTGTACAACTGCACAATCATATAATGTACAAACAACGAGCGTTGAGGTCGAGTTGTCGAGCGGCGCTGAGTTGAGTCGAAATTCTGACAGCGCAGCTGATGGCAGGTGGTGATTTACATTGCGCATTAAAATACGATAAAAGCTTTTTACGTCGATGTTTATAATTTGCTATCAAATTATTCATGTGGTTTGATTGACAATGATAAAAATATATTTATTAGCGCGCTAATGGCGTTTTCGTACACGTTTTCTCATTGACATTATCAGCCATTAACTTTCTCTATAACTATAAATATTGTGATTCGACTTAAGTCTTGGGTTTTACTTTAGAAAGTTCCTAGTTGCGATCTAATGTTAATATTGCACTTTCTTAATGGATACTCAGGAAACTAATGAGAAAAGTTTTATTGCAATCTTTATATCGCCATTAACTCTTTGTAACATTTTTTTAGAGATTTTTGAAAAAAAACTGCAAAATCTCCGAAAATATTTAAAGACAGCATTGGGAAGTATATTATATTTTTCAGAATTTAATCACGCATCTGACGGAGGCAAAAGATTTTAAATATTTATAATATTTTGTAAATGCCAGGCTAAAAACTTAAAATTTTAATTTTTTTTTTTTCAATTTTTTGTGTTTTTTTTTATTTTCTTGTTTGAAAAATCGTGAGATCTTAATTCTGCCACTCCCTAGTCTTTAGCACCTTGTTTCCCCGTTTGACTATTTTTACAAAAGGACAATAGCCCCGGCAGTAACTAGCCGCCGGTGTTGTAATCGCCGTTTGCGGACCATTGACGCACCATAATCCTTCCTCTATGTGTGTGTTTGTGTAGTCATATCGGATTCGTAAAAAATCGAGTCAAGGTGTTGTAAATCATAATTGGACATGGTCGGGCGCACACACAGTAACACACTGTGTTCTACGTCTATTATTATGTTATCTAATGCTATTCAAAACAAAGCCTAAATTCGAAAGAATATTTTAAAACTTTTTTATTTTTAACTTTTTGCGTTTTTGCAACCGTTTTTAACGGATTGAAAACTATGTCGTTATTATCTGTGCGATCCGGGTGATTAGTTTTGCATATTACGTTATGATTGTGTGGCGAAATGACGCAGGTACACGCATTGTAATAAATTGCAAGTTTGCTGAAGATGTGTGCGCGGCAAACGGAAATAACCTCAATACAAATACAAAATATGCAAAAATTACGTCGCGTGGCATGACCGTGAACGCATTATTACGCTGGCCATCAAATTATTTTGCATATATTACCACAGATATAATTATTTTTATTATGATTTGATTAAAATTACCGATGTTACAAATTACGACATTTAAATTCGTTACTAGCGCGTAATAAATTACAAATTTAATGATTAAAAACATAACTTAATTGAATTGAGTTGTTTCGCATGAAAATTAACACGAACTTTAACGCAAACCCATTGTTTAAGAGGCATTGTTTAATCAAGTCTAAGTATGTCGTTTGTTAATGTTTATACACTTTACACTTTCGATACACGATGGGTTTTTGGGAACTTGTCTACGCTTCACTTTGTATGTAATTACAAAATGGTTGGGAAACATTAAGACACAAACGCGTTGTGCAAAGCCACTACTTCAATCAAGCACATTAGAACAAAGCGTTTAGCCTTAATTGTTTGATGTTTTGCTTCATCACTTTAGCAATTTACTCGTTAGAAACAAGAAAAAAAAAGAAAACATTTTTTAAATTTACTTTTTATTTGTTTTTCAACAAATTACGAGTAATATAGCACAACATATGTTGAAATGTTTCTAATGTTGTTGAAATCTGATTATAATTGGCCAAGTTTTATCTTTTTTCTTTTAAAAAAATCTTAAAGTGCTAAAGGATGTATTCTTAGACTTAGGATCAATTCGGATTGAGAATTGTAGTAAAGTAGTAAACTTTGAACTTCAGTTAAATCCGAAGTCAAGAGTGCGAATTCAAGTTTGCTTTGCGAGTGCTTCTGAAGGGTTTTAATGTGATTTTTACGACTTGTAAATGCGAGCGTAACACCGGAAAGCATCACCGCATAGCACGTCAACTCGTAAAATCGAAAATCTGTCGGTTTTTATTCGATGACTGGATGACACACTGAAATTTTAATGACTCGTTCATTATCGCTTCGATAAATAAAATCAATGGTAATCAGTTTTAGTGCTTGTGTAGTTTTTATGTTTTCGTGCGCTACGCCAAATCATAGAAACATGAATATATATTTGATGGATATAGGTGGTATAGGTGGGGAAGACTTGCGCTCTTCGTACGCTTCGTACCCTACCTCCGCTTCGGTCGGCTTTCATTCACCGTCAGCGTTCCGCCGGCGACGCATTCATGTCCGCGTGTACTGGATACGAAGACACGAACTTCCGTGTTGCGTGTTGCGAATATTAAAAATGCGGACGAAAGTGTTATTATTAGTGACTTTAATCCTAAGCGAATTGTTTTGTGGATAATTACACGTGTACCGCACGGACAGGATAAATTAATCATGGTGGATTTGAAAAATGAGCCGGCGGCCACGCCGAAGAAGAGCAAGCACCAGCTGCTGTCGATGACGACGGTGAAGAGCTGGTTCATGTCGGAGAAGAAACATCATGCGGATACGCCGTTCCGGCAGAGGATGCCCGAGTCGTTTTTGCGCTCGATTCGTAGGCGATCATTGAGAGTTAAACGCGCGAAGAGTTTAGTTTTACCGGAAAAACGCAAGTCAGGTGAGAGGTGTTGAAGTAGAAATCATTGTAAATGTAGGAAATAAAAATAAAAACACTTGTTAACTTAAGTACACTTCACGGGAGTGTAAGCGTGAAGTTTAAATCGGAAATACGAATAAAAAACGGACGTTAGAAAAATTCCACACTTAAAATAGTAATGCAAGTTTAAAGACAAAGCGAGGAGGTGGAATTGAAATTATGCGTGTAAAGGCGGAAATGCACCTTTACGCTTCTTACATGCACAAATAAATATCCGGTGTGAATATATTTATTTATCTACTTTGTTTGTACAAAGAATTTTTAGTGTTTTTAAATTGATTTTTGTGTTTTTTTAACAAAACGCGTTGTTTTTTGATATTTTGCGTATTAATAATTAATTTCTCTCAAACTTTCCACCCGCATACTTGTTGAGGGATTAAATTACGCTAGCGGAAGTAATGTTCAGGTACATTAAACTATACTTATTGAATATTTGAAGATATCATGTCATGCACGAAGTGAAACGCAATAATTTTGTTGACGCTTGAAGGGAGCGCTTGATTCGTCTTTAATGCCCTTGAATAGACAAGAATAGTTATTAAGTATGATTGCGTTTAAATTCTATAATTTTACGCTTTTGATTCTTATTTTGAGGGAGTTGTAAGTATTATATTAGTCGGTGAAAGTTTTTGGTTTGTCTACGATTACATTCGTAATTAAATACGTTTTGTGTTGTGCAGGTTGTGCGCAAGAATGAAAAACGTTACAGCGTTACATTGTTACATAAAGTGAAGCAGCGGGTGTTTGTTAGAGGCATAAAAAGAGCTTTCACGACGCGCGCGTGCCATTCAAAGATGGATATCGACACAAGAAAAGATCACATTTACAGCTGAGGAAACTTTTACCGTAAAAGGTGGACGCGGACTGTAACTGACACCTGAGACAAACACTCCGGAAAAAATGATATCTTTATTATACAGATCGATCATAAACTTTCAAGATGCATAAATATTTCTGTGTTATTTTTTAAGCGAAGTTTATGTTATGTTATGTTAAAAAGCATTGTGTGGAATGCAATGACCAGAAACGGGACATCTGCTCATCGGTTTGTGCTATGGTTGATGCTTTAGGCCTAGGCAAATAGAGTCAACAAAAGACAACTAATCCGTCGGGCTGCGTCAATATTTAGAAAATTTCGTAAATGTAAAATGCGTCGTGCCCTAGAAAACGCTTTAAATCGAACGTTTTATTGGCAAACAACGTGATAGCCGCGAAAAAGGATTTTTTAAACTCTGACGAAGGTAATCCGTGAACAAATATTATCAATTTATAACGTAATGACAACAGTAGCGCACTATTATATTAGATTATCGGTTGAAAAAAGTTTAAAACATCTGTCGCGCTAGTCAGTTAACTCGAGCGAAAAAAATAAATTGCAGATTAAAATTTCAACATCGCAATAATATTAAATCAGCTTATTTGATCTGTTTATTACTCTATCATTCATACGCTCGAATTAAAACCAATATAATCATGATACATAGGGGGTGAGATTACTAATCTGCGTGTGTGTGTTGTGTTTTTTTATTTATTTACGTTATGAAAATTATATCTACAACGGGTCAAAGCCAAAGCACTCCTGTGGTTTGCCTAATTCTGCTCGCGCATTGTTAACTTCATAACCCCATCAGCAATCCACCCCGTTAGGTGACCTTGTCCGCTTTTGTCAACTTAGATTCAGAAAAAAAATAGGATTAGCACAACCCCAGCATGATTATTTTATTAATTAACGAGGATACGCTGTGCTGTGCGCTGCTATTTTCTGAAATAACGATCTACTGAATTTCTCTCCTGAGTTCACTAACAAGTTCTCAAAATTTCCAGTAGTTGAATAGCCAAAAGCACGAAGTGATCTCGTTATCTCCCATTCTATTCTCGGTATTCTGGGGTAAAAGATGCGACTTGACATGATTTCCTCCGCTGGCAACTAATCATCTATTTACTCGTACTGCGCTCGCTATTGCTTGCTTGCTTATTATAGAATTTATGATGGTAGTGGGGCCTGGCTGCTAATGTGAACTGCTCCTTATTTTATTGCTTTGTGGCCCACCCCTTGCATCCACCTTTGGACGCCGCATCACCGACATCACATAAATATCGTCCTCGTTTTGTTGCGCTTCGAGTATGCCTCCGAGAGATCGCATTCAGAAAGTGATCAATAGAAATTGAATTAGACCTTTGGCAACTTTCTCGAATCTAGGGGACTTAGACCTGGCTGCTGGAGAATTCCGCTGGGTGGTGTTTTTGGGGATGCAGTCTAAAATAAAGCCGAGAATTTATTACGTCTTATTGTAGGATGCTTTCATGCAGCATGCATGGATGGTTTTCCGGATACGTAGGTATTCTTCTTTATTGCTTCATGCTAGGATGCGTGGGAGATTTTTTTCTGTTCGTATTACTTCCTTGTATCTAAGTACGTAGCGCCCAGTGACCGTTAACTGTTATTTTAACCCTGTGGTTTTCAGGGTTTCCTGCTTATGCAGTATTTTTTTCGGAGTTTAAATTTCGATGATTAATGATTTCAGTTCAATACGCGTTGAAACAATAGGGAATAGAAGCATCATTATGCGTGACAACTAGTAATTAGTTTTTTTATTGTTTTAACACTTTGAATTTGATTACGAATGATTAATGCGCTACCATGGAACACCTTGTAACCCTTTTTTTATTGTTGAACTAAATTCAAATAGTTTCACCTTCAAGGTGTTCATTGTGCGCATTCGTGCTGATTAGATATGGAAATTAAGATTTGTGTACAAAATTCAAAAAATACACTCAGGATATTTCATTATCGATGAATTGTGTTTCTGAACAAGCATGCAGCACTCTCTTAACTCTTAAGAGGCAGGTGTTTGTGCGTGACGCACGTAACACCACATAGCATCCAGCTGGCGCCCGGAAACCGGAGTGCGGTTTCCGGACGCATTACCAAATCAACTCCTTTAAGGCTGCCCGCGCGAGATCTCGCGACACAGTATGAAAGGTAAACCGCATCGGCGGCGACTCAAAAGCATCGACGCTTCGCATTGTGTGTTTCTACATATTAGGCGTCTAATGGAGCGTGTGGCGGCGTCTCAAGTTGCTCTCCACGCCTAACACCGCCCAGCCCGCTGTTTGTACGCTATTGTGTGGTGGTCTCGCGAGTTGGCACATGTTCCCTCAATCAATTTATGACACATATGCGGTAATGTCGATAATACCACATCGAAAAAAATTAAAAAAATAAAATTGCACGTTTTTTGCTTGTTAGAAGAGCAAAAAAACTTAGACTCTATGTTCTAAGGTACAGAAATAATAAAAAGGAAAGAAATAACCCTTCTGGGGCCCACAATTTAGTCCTAAACCTTTTTTCTTTTCTCAGTGTTAGAAAAAAAAAAGGTTTAGTTGGATTTTTTTATCTGTGCGATGCCTTACCTGCACGATGATAATATGCATAATGCAGTAACGTTTTTAAAGTGTAATTGAATTGCTAGCGCCCATGCGAAATGGCCCCGGTTGCAGGTCTATGCAGGTAGAAGAAGAACGTGCATGTTGTTTTAGCCGCGCGGCAAGAAATTTGATTAAAAGTGTCTGCCTTGGAATAACAGACGATAAAAGGGGTGCATTGCAAAGATATATTACATCGGGAAGTTCTATGATGAATTACCCTAGTTTTTGTGCATTGCGCATTCAATTTCAATTCTTGGAGGTCTCTAGAACTCTAGAACAACGAAGACATCTAGTAGAGGTATTACAGTCTACAGCTGTCCCATTACCTTGGTGCTAAGCCAAGGTAAGCCTTTCTGTTCACACTTGGTTGCATCGCATTTCGGCGCACTTTTTCTAACAGATTCATTTGATGGAAAATTTTTACTGAGGTAGACCTCAGAGGAAACATCATATGAAAAATATGATTTATGTTTTACGTAATTTTCCGTGGTTGTTGCGTTGAATTCTCGTCAATAGTCGACGAACAAAAGATGGCAGACAACACAAAAGACGAAGGAAAAAATTGGAGTTCACCCTGGCAGCTTGAATTTTCGGTCCACTGAGCGAAACTTGCCGTCAGCAGATGTTATCATACAAGTGGAGCATAACTAAGCAACAAATCGATTGATTGTTGGCCTGTCTCTTGTGTAATAAGAGCATCTTCGATTGCAAACCAACTTCGAGATTTCGAGGAGGTACTTGTACAGCTGCTCATGTATCTTATCAATGATCACAAGATATATTACTCTGGTTGTTGCTTTGGACGTGTATTCAGGTCAACAAATCAACGCAAAAATAATACCGTTACTGTTAGAATCGTGTAATTATCGCCTATGGCTTTGTGTCAGGACTTTTCACGCTTGATATAATTGCAATTCGCAATGGTCACGATTTTGCCAATAATTACAACTCATTTTTTCGTGGTCTACGCTAAAGTTTACAGCAATTAATCATTCCCAGCATGAATTTATCTACATCCTGTCCGAACTCATCAATATTCCACTCGCAAGTTGAATAGTTTACACATGTACTGAAGAAGACAATGGTGTGCTACTTATGCCGCTTCAAATTTAACGCTCCGTGCGTCTTTGATGATGATGACACTTTAATTTCCATGCGCGTGCTGTTTTAGCATCGATACGCAATGGAAGTAAAGCGGGGCGTGTGCTGCACACCTTCGGGCGACACTTATTTCCACTCTATTCCACGTGAGACATGATTATTAATCGTCTTTTCGAGATATTCATCTTTAACTGTTTGTACCGGACAATACCACATGGCACTTATTAACTTTTCCGTATTTTTCTGTATTGCAGATTCGTTTGTGAACAGTCAAGAATGGACGTTATCACGCTCTGTCCCGGATCTCAGACTTGGAATCGTCGGTTCGCTATCGTCGGGGAAATCAGCGCTGGTACATCGTTATCTCACCGGCAGTTACATGCAAGAGGAATCGCCCGAAGGCGGCCGGTTTAAGAAGGAGATCCTGGTGGACAATCAGAGTTACCTGCTGTTAATCCGCGATGAGGGCGGGCCACCAGAGTTGCAGGTAAGTGTTGCGTGCGTGATGCGATTAGGTGATTAGTTTGTAAATTGTAAAATGTGCGTGTGGCGCCGCGACGCCGCGCCACCTTGGCGCCTCCACCATTGGCGTTAAATATTTATATTTGTATGTCGATTTCGCGTTAAATTAGCGTGTGTTTTCTGGTATTGATTATCATATCGCAAAAAGCAAAGCCCTTCGTGCACGTTTTCGCATTGAAAAGGGGCGCGCGTCGATAGAGCGAGAGATAAGAAGGGCCCGACGTCGCGGCGCCCTTCTCTGTCAGCGCGCGCGTTTCGTCCTTTCGGGTCGTCCGTGTGACTCGGCGTGTTGTTCAGTCAGTGCCTTTCCCGCCGCGTCGTCGGAAAGGATTGAGCGGTTTGCTGCGTGATTTGTATTTTTATACCTGGTAAACCATTTTTTTTCGTTTGAATTAAAAAAAAAATTATTCGTTGTATTCGATTTAAATTTGATTATTTTTTACAGTTTACTGCTTGGGTGGACGCGGTGATATTCGTATTCAGTTTGGAGAACGAATCCTCCTTCAATGCCATTTATAATTACTATACAAAGATGTCACAGTTCCGAAACTCGGTCGAGATACCATTAATTTTGGTGGGCACTCAAGGTAAGTCTTTTGTTTGATATTTTAATTCCAATCGCCTAGTGTAGATTGTATGTGTATTGATTCAGCACGTTTTGAATTATTAATAATATAATAGCAGAGCGTCTGTATTGTTTCCATTTCGAGTTTCGAGTTTCCATTTTCGCACAATGCAAATGAAGTTTGCTTATATAGAGAATAACGCAGATAACGTTGCATACATTTTATAACGAAAGTTTTGCCTTTTGCAGATGCTATCAGCGAGAACAATCCACGTGTCATTGATGATTCGCGAGCGCGCAAATTGGCCAATGACCTGAAGAGGTGTACCTATTACGAAACCTGCGCCACGTACGGTTTGAACGTCGAGCGTGTCTTTCAAGATGGTGAGTCATCTATCTCCTGTTCGATTACTGCATCACTTGGGTCATTTCCTTTTTAAACTTTTATGGTGTCATGAATGCAAATCTAACGCTTAGTTCTAGACGGCGCTGCAATTGTGTCAGATGTTTGTTAATTTGATTTTTATATTCTCGTAGCTTGTCAGAAAATTGTGCAGCAACGATTGACCACATCGGCGGCATGCTTGACTCCGACGAATTCTCGCCCCTCGACGCCTAACAATCATTTCCACACCGCCGGCGGGCCGCTGGCCACAGCTCCTCGATATCATCTCTCTAGTAATAATGGCTTCAGCAATGTAGGACAATCACCCGCTGCGAACCACATGTCCCCTAGTCACAATCACACTCTATCACATAAGGTTGGTACTTTAGATATTCGCTGAGATTGCGATAAATCTCATAATAATAAATTTCAATTTAGGAATCGGTCGCATTGTCTCAGTTGGGTGGCAGGCAGGTGCACACATTATCCGCATCAAGTCACCATCTACACCGTGCGGCCGATAAACACGACGGACTTTTCCGCAACTCCGAAGAGAAGTGGAACTCTTCTTCTTCTACCCTAGGCAGCCACGGTTCGTCACAGGCGCTGGTCATGCAAGCCATACCGACGGAAAACAATAACATTGCAAAGTTCACCGCCCCGCATCCGCTAGACAATAACCAGACGCCGGTTATCAAGGATAAGGACCTGCCAACACCCAGCTCCACTCCGACGACGTCGCGTAAGAGCCGTCGGCGCTCGAATCTTCACCCCGTCGAAAAAGCCGACGATAAGTTGAAGAACGGGGGTGATATTGGTGTTGGCAGGGCGATACCACTCAAACAAGGATATCTCTATAAAAAGAGTAGTAAGCCCTTGAACAAGGAGTGGAAGAAGAAGTATGTGACGCTGTGTAATGATGGTATCCTCACTTACCATCCGAGTCTGCATGATTACATGGACGATGTGCACGGTAAAGAGATACCACTTCAATATGTGACGGTGAAAGTGCCAGGACAAAAGCCGCGCGGCTCGAAGAGTATAATCACTGTCGCCGGCACGAACGGCAGCAGTATTAATGAAAGCCTTGGGGGATTATCAATTGGTAAGTTTAATCAGATTTTAAATTCTTGAGAAAAAGTTTTAATTTTTTTGAATTAGGTTCGAGGGACAAAAGAATCACTGAAAATGTGTTGCTAACAGGATATGACACCGTCAAGGAGCCCGGCAAGTACACTCAAGCCAGCGGTGATGAAGGCTTCAACAGTAACACCTATATGAATGGTGAGAATCTGAAATCCGAAACGCCGAACGTCAAGAAGCGGCATCGTCGCATGAAGAGCAGCGGCGTGAAGAATTCCGAGTATGATGACGCCGACGGCTATGAGTTTTGCATTGTTTCTTTGGATAATAAACAGTGGAACTTTGAGGCGTCCAGTTGTGAGGAGCGCGATCAATGGGTGACGGCCATCGAGGAGCAGATTCTCAAGTCGTTGCAGCTCAACGAGTCGTCGAAGACGAAGAAGCAGAATCCGATGGAGGCGGCGAATATTCAAAACATTCGCTCGAGGGTACCAGGCAATGATTTGTGTGTCGACTGCGATGCACCAAGTAAGAAAATTTTACAAAACATAGTAAATTATTATTAAATATTGATATTTGCAGATCCTGATTGGGCTAGTCTTAACTTGGGCATTCTGATGTGCATTGAATGTTCGGGAATTCATCGGAATATGGGATCACATATTTCCAAGGTTCGATCGTTAAATCTAGACGAATGGCCGTAAGTTTTTTTTATTTGTGTATTTTCAAAGCAAATCAGTGTTTATTTTGACTTTATTGCAGTCCTGGTCATTTGAGTGTAATGTTAGCGATTGGTAACGCATTGGCAAACTCAATATTTGAAGCTAGGACCCAGCTTAACATCAAACCAGCCCCGAATACTAGTCGAGAAGAGAAGGAGCAGTGGATTCGGTTGAAGTACGAAGCGAAAGAGTTTCTTCCGCCTACATGCAACATGATGCCATTGGATAAACAACTGATTGACGCGGTATGCGCCTCGAATATTAAAAATATCCTGCAGGTCCTTGCGCAAGCCAGTGCTGAGCATGTGAATTCCACTGTGGGGCCTAATGATCTACGAAGTCCTCTTCATCTCGCGTGTGCAATGGGTAACTTAGCTGTGGCACAGTTATTAATCTGGGTAAGTAAATAAATGTTGTGTTTTTTATGTAAAATGTAATTGTTTTGTTTAAATTTTATATATAGCATCATGCGAACGTGAAAGCCACGGATGAAGATGGCCGAACATGTCTGACGTATGCACGCGCAGCTCAGGCATAGCCACGGCGAAGCAACAAAAATCGGCAGTGTTGTGACCAGTGATAATCAAGTAGTTGCCTGCAATAATCTCATAGACCTGTTGGCAGCATGCGGCTGTCAGGACGTGGCGGTGGTGCCCGGTTCCGGTACACTGCCACGTCGACGCGGAAGCCAAGCGCTTCCGCCCCTAGAAAAAGTGACGTCGAGCGTCATCTAAACAAACAATCTGTATCTGCAATATCTTGTACATGGATTTATTTTTAACTTAATTCTACTTTATTTATTAATGACTCCGCATGGAGTTGAATAGTACAAGTACAAGGTCGTTACAATACTTAGTGCAAAATGTATTTCACATTCTGTTTCGGTTGATTCTCTGAATCTCTTAGCACACACGTACTTAGTTAAATATTAGGGGACAAGAAGAGGAGAAGGAAGAATTTGTGTCATTAGTGTCATGCCCACGTAACCGCGATGTCAATTCCTGCACTGATAACTGATAACTCATTCATACAGTAACTATATCTAGACTAATTCGAAAAGAAAGTGACCACAATGAGTATTACCTAAATCGTAAGTAATTAATGGATACTTATATGCATATATAACGGATGTGAACACTGTGAACAGAAGTTTCTATGTCGTTTTTTGTAATTTTTGTACCGTTTTGAGGGTTTGTTTTCATTTCGAGCATCTTCTGCGTTTCCGTCTGCATCAACCGCCGATTAAAAATGATTGATGTGTTATTGTCCTTTAAGTATTGTACACAACTGTTATGTTTTATTTGTATATAATTTTGCCAAAGAATGTTTTTATATGTTTATGCTACATAATGTACAGAAATTATATATGTTGTTCCACCTCAGCATTCTTTTTCATTGATTTTCCTTTAGAATCGACATGGGTTATTAAAATTTATATCAAAATGTATCTCTTTCAATACCCTTCATCATTCTTTCAAGAAAAATACATCTTTTTAACATGTTTAACTGATATGTACACAAAACTAACTCAATTATAAATCAATCAACGTTAAATTAACTTTAATCTAATGCCAGTATACAAAAAGGTGAACAACATGGCTGACCCAACAATTTATTTAACAAATATCCTTTTACCCTCAAAAGTGCTAAAATCAGTCCACTGGCATAACCATATAATCATCGACATTATTTTCTACACATCCACAATCACTTATTACTTCGGCAGTGTTAACTATTTAATACATCAGTTCCAAAATGACGGATCCATCAGCGAAGTATCTTTAAATTTATCCTTAATGCTCTCTTTAACTCATGCCAATGTAATTGCGTACTGGATAAGAAAACATAAACCAAATTTCGATGATATGTGTGAGTTACTTGTCACCAATCCATATTTAGACATAAATAGTAAGATAGTGCGACAACAATTCGAGTGGAACAACTGCCAAGCCAAAATGGCGCTGGTTTATAGCACGTTGATCTTTGTGCCAGGGATAATCTATGTTGAATTCAACATTTGCCGCATTGATAACATATATGCTTGTCATTATGTTATTCCAAGCGTAGGAAATATTTAATAAGTATTAATGTGGACTGAAAGTTATAATATTATGTTTTAGTACTTCTTTATAGAGATTAGTAGTCTCTGTCGAGTTGTATACAACATTCTCACAGGATTTTGTATATTTATATTAGGTTTAGGGGCTTTAACAAGTGTTGTGATGTTACTTAGTATCACAACGCATCTAGACACTTTTCTACAAGTTATTTGCTTGACTTTGGATGATATTAAACGTACAGAGAATTCATGGCAACGAAAACAGAAACTTATACTCGCCTACAGACAGCAAATCTATATGTTACGGTAAATCTATCTTCTCTTGTAAGGTAACTTATATATCATCTACTTTTTATCTCTTGTAGGATATGGGTGATTGTAAGTGAAATGTTCAAATGGTCTCTGTTGTTACACACATTCATAGCTGGAGTTACACTGGCTTTTTGTGTAATAACAACGTTAATTGCAAGTACAACACTAAAATTTTACGTTTTTATTTTGTAAACATGATTTTTTTCAGAAATTTGATGTTAATACATTTGGTATTTCTATTTGTTACCTTTTTGGGACTCTTATTACTGGTGCGATTGGTGAAAAAGTTGTTAAATTTGTAAATATCGTCAAATTTAAAATCTTTCTACAGAGGTAAGGAAAATAAATTATATTTTAGGGTGAAGATTTACGACATACGACTTTTTATGCATGTCCATGGGATGGGGACGTTGTAACTGTCAGATTTCTTATGATAATGAATATTAATTCCACAAATAGATTTGTATTGCCAATGGGTAACTACTATAGTGTCTTTTCAAATGAATTTGTACTCTCTGTAAGTATAAATCATTGACAAATTTATATAAACTTGTCACTTTGTTTCTTCTAGGTGTTTAAGTTTACTTATTCTGTTGTAATGCTGTATATCAATAGCCGATAGAATACTTATACAAAAAATAGACTTTTATTGTTTACATTGCGCATACAACCTGTTTTTTTATAGATGTAAGATGTGTTCAGGTTATATTCTTCTCAGTTACTTATTGGCCGTGAACGTGTTCACTTCTATATTAGATATTCCTTTATTTTACTTAGTGACTTAAGTTAGTTAGTGTTAACCAGAGATTATTTTAAGTCATGCCTTGCGATTCTGATTATTTTGTGCGTGAATTAGACATTAATTCAAGTGATACTCAACTACACACACTAAAACTACATCAGAAGTCAGTTGGAGATGTGAATTGTATTGTGTGGGATGCATCCATAGTTTTAGCTAAATATCTCGAAGTGTACAACTTGAAACATCCAAATTTTTTAGTAGATGTGAAAGTTATTGAGTTGGGATCTGGTGTTGGATGTGTGGGATTGACTGCTGCATTATTAGGGTATAAAAAACATTTTATTAACTTTACAGGGTAAAAATTATAATTATTTTCCTCTTTTAGTGCAAATGTTACACTAACAGACCTGCCTGAAACTATAACTATATTGAATGATAATATTGCCTTCAACAAAGATACAATTAATTCATCTCAGGGATCAGTCACTGCCAGAGTTTTAAACTGGTCTGATAAATTAGATATCAGTGCCAATGACTATCAACTTATAATTTTATCTGATTGTGTATATTATTCAAAGGTAATTTGTTTTATAACATTTTTAACAGTTACAATAGTTAATAATGTATGTTTTAGTCAATTAAATCTTTGACACAAACATTAGTGGAGCTGTGTGGTGATAGTACTGAAATAATTCAGAGCCAAGAAATAAGGGATACTGATAAACAAAAAGAGATTTGGAATTGTTATTTACAACAATTACAAATGGAATTTAATGTTGAAGAAATTCCAACTTCTCAACAACATATGGAATTTTCTTGCAGAGATATTAAACTGCTGAAAATTACTAAGAAATAAATATAATTTTACAATTTAAACAAATCTGTTATTTATTTAACAATGTATAGCTATAGTTGTATTTTATTGCTATAAACATCTGTCCTGTATATCTAGTTGCATAACATCAACTGACAAATTGTATTTTGTTCGGCTTGTTATTGTACAGTTTTAAAGGTTATCTATGATACTACGCTAACCCACAAGTGGTTTCGTTGACTTCACCGGTTACTAACAAAAATGTCTACAATAAAAGACAATGCTGGTGCTAATTTCATTCCAAAGAAGCAGAATAAAGAAGTGTTAACACCGCATCGCCTCACCGTTGGTATCCTCACAATGGAATTCTACAAAGTGAGAGAATTTGCAGGTACTGTGCTATATAATCTCATATTTTAAATATTTCATAGAAAAACGTTAAAATTTCAGTGTTTTGCACACAACGTCGTGCGTTTATTCGCGAGTTTTGTCTGCTTATATTAAAACTAATTCAGAGTCCAGATCTTACCTTTGCTGAGCTTCACAATCTCATTTCACAAGTAGAATATTCACTCTGCAAAGATCAGTTTCTAGAGAGTTTTCTAGCCACTATAAAGAATTTAATCAGTGGTATTGGAGCACTGCAGGATGCTGTCGATAATATTGTACAACTAATGCAGTTGGATAATCAATTGGGGGCTATTAAAGTTGGTGTTATTGGGAAAAACAGTGTAGTTGGTAATAAAACAACGAAAAAACATGTAATCAAACAAAAAATATTAATAATTTATATTTTAGGTTGTTATTTGCGCCGTTTAGTTCTTAACTTTGATAAGTTATCATTTTCTGAAATCTCAATATTTTTCGAATCTTATAAATCTTATTGCGGCCCTTTTATCAATGGTAGTTTAGAACAACCACATTGTGCACTTGATTCTTCAAAAAAATCTACTTTAAATCAAAACTTAAACCGTGATTGGACCCAAAGGCAAGCCGAATTGTTTATTGCCACCCAAAGTGCACTTATTGCCAATAACGAAGGCAAAGCATTATCCCCGAATGAATTACACAAATATATCAAGAGTCTACTAAAAAGTAATCCAGATCTTTCAGCTGCAGTGAGTAAAATTAAAAAAAAAATTAAATTTACGCACTAAACAACTTAATTTTTAGCATTTCCTAAACTATTTAAATTATTTAAGAGTAAAAGAATATTGTGGGGCCATTGATTCACTGTATCATTGTTTTGATAAGTCTGCAAACAATGATAAAGCGAATGCCGATGCAAGAACCAAGACATATCGTTATGCTGCGTTGAATTTAGCGATTTTACAGTGTCAATTTGGTCATAAGTAAATATATTTTACTAAAATAAAAAATATAAATTATAAAATTGTATTGTAGGCAAGAAGGACTTTTAGCTTTGAAGGAATCCATCAAAATGGCGCAGGAAAGCAGCGATAATCAATGCCTACAACATGCTTTATCCTGGTTACGATGTCTCACAAGTAACCAGCATAAACTAATCGCTGAACAATCAGCCATAAAATACGTTGATTTAAATTTGTCATATGTAATGTCTCTAGGAATTCAATCATTCGTGAAATTCTGTGGATTATCTACAGCACATCCACAAATAGTTTTAGATGTAAGTATATTTTATTTTTATTTGTTTCCATTGAAATGTATTTTGTGTTGTTTTTTAACTAGTCGTTAACTAGAAGTGATATTATTAACTCCGAACATGGTCACGGTGACCTAATCGCAACAAACTACGGATTGAAAGCAGGACTGTGGTTGTTTTACGGTAAAACTGAAATGTCGTCATTGTGGAGTCAACTTTTGCTGTATTTGAACACCGATAGTCTCCTGGTGAACAAAACATACTACGGCGAGAGTTATGTGCAGGCTCTGTGTAACATGGCAGGATTAATGCATCAGGAAGGCGAGTATGCCCTCAGTAATACTATTCTTTCGCATGCCGAAGAGCGTTTTCCCAATGAACCCATGAATCACTCTGTGATGTTTTGCCGAAATGTTTTCCACTTTTATCGCTTGTTATACAACGAAAAACCGACCGCTGCTGCTTCTATAGCAGCAAAAGTCGCGGTCGTAGATAAATGGGAGAGTTATCTGTGTTTCGCACAACTTTATCTTCACACTGGCGATTATTCCGAAGCACATCAATACTGCAATCGGATTCTGGATGAGTGTAAAGATAATAATAGTCATGTGAGGATGGATATGCAAGTTAGGGCGATGATCCTCCTCTCGGATGTGCAAATAGCGTCGAATTTTCCCAACGCCGCCATTCCCGGTGTAATGGGTTTGTTGAATAGCTCGCTTGCTTACGCTAATGATTACAATATGCATTATTTGGCGGCCATGGCGCAGTTACGTATTGCGCACGTGTTGTTGCTGTTGAAAATGCCGCAGCAGGCGAGTAAAGTACTGCAGCGTTGCATCATACAAATTTTAACCGATGGAGGGTGTTATGATCGAGCGAAGGTGTTGATGTTGCAAGCGCACTGCACGATTGCATGCTGTAATGGAAGCGGTGCGTCGAAAACGCGCCAGAAGGAAGTCATCCAGGAAGTTTTACAGGATTTATCTTTGGTGCAGAAGGATTTCGAGAAAGTAGAGGCTGTGTTTCGCGTGAAAGATATTTTAATTCTACAGGTCAGTTGTGTTTTCTTTATTTTTGTTATCATTTTTATATTTTTAATGATTTTAAAGGCAAAATTATGCGATGAAATTGGATTTGAGAAGCAACGCAACCGGCACGCATTAGATTATCGCACATTGAACGCGGAACATGCGTCTGTGTATGGCTCGCAGTTATTTAAGATGATTTAATCAATCTCACCTCTCAATGTCAAGGCAACACCTTATTTGAGGTGAGTTTAAACTTCGAAAACTTGTGTATTATTACGCTCGACCTCGTTTTTTCTAGTTAATTTAATTTGCTTGTAAATATAATAAAAATTGTTTATGTTTTCTATCGAAACTATTGATTGCTGTTTTGGAAAATGAATGGTCATGTTCTAACGCTGTAAAACGGTGCGCACTGGTGCATAGCGTAACAGTTCGTGCATCGTGCGCATTTTCTACATGTAAAACGGCATTAATTACTAGTTTCTTTTCTGACGTGCGCCGAATAATCGCCGCCCATTACGCGCGCCTAGTTTTTCTTTGCAATTAGACGCGCTAACTAATGCGCAAGTGTTTTAGTTTAGTGTTTATGTGTGTGTTTAACTGTTCGAATTCTCGTTTATTTTCGCGCTGGAACGGAAACGAGGAGAAACTTTTGTGGGCGCACTTAGGGGGGTGTAATTTCCGATGAATATTTTTATCCTCGGCCTTGTCCTTGCACTTGAACGATTATATGCGAATAATCAACGCATGCAATGCGCCGGAACCGGCGGCGTGCCCACAATCAATTCGATTGTCGCTGCCGCCGCAACTCGTAACTATTCGTGATGTAATCCAATAAAAAAACTATACACTTAGCGCGTTGTTGTAATTTCATTTTCAGAACATTGCCGATAAACACAGTTTCGTGTCAACTGCAAACAACGTTTCGTAATCGGAGGTTTTTTTTCTACGTTGGTCGATGACGAAACGGCATTGTTTGTTTATTTGTTCGCGCTGTTCGGCGATGTCGCACACACCACGTACCTAGATTTAATTCATACGTCTATGGTTCGTGCCGGTAAATATACGTGCCACAATTTTAAGGTCATTCGATGATAACAGCGCACAATTAATGTGCGATGGTGCATTGCACGGCGGACTTTTGTCAGATTCGTCAGCATCGATCCGTACAATTGCTCGGAATCAGTTGGAAGGTAGCTGGCGGTGGCGTGTCAAAGTAAATATTGTGTATTTACACGTGGGAGATTAAATAATTGATAATAATTTATTATCAAGTATTTCCTGATCTGATTTTAAAAGTGTAGTAATCGATTGGTGACGCACGGCGCATGATCAAGCGCGCACGCGGCGGCAACATCACCCCTGCGCGTTTCTGAGGGGCGGCATAAAGAAAACACCGACGGCGGACGCCGCCTCACATCTGTACCGCCGGCTTTTGTGATGGGTTCTTCGCTTGCTTGCGGTTTACTTCTGACGAAATAAAGATGACTACGAAATCGCCGAGGTGAGTTTTTACACGCACGTGTCGTTTGGAGAAATATTTACCTGGAATCGAAATTACCGTATTTTGCCGGATTGCCACCGGGCGTTCGCGTAAACAAGTTCAATCGCCTAACCAACGCTGTAATTTATAATAGATTATCGTAATGCTTTCGGGCAACATCCGGTTTGGCCGGCGCGCGTTGTTTGGTAGCCGGTTTCGTGATCAACTGGAAGCGCATCGCCGATTTTGTCACAGTTGGTTAACAATACGGAACAATGTCGATTGCTGAACAGGAGGAGCATTAGAAATTACTGTTCGGCACAGTTAGTAACGCGCCGCAACTCGAACAGCACAACGCGTGTTGTGTGTTTTGTTTGTTTGTTTTAGATTTTTAAATCCGTGTTTTAAACATTTCTCCAAATGTCGCTTGAAATATACGATCATGCGGGGTCTACTAATTCGCTGTCGTCTCTGGAAAGCAGAAAGTCAAACTTTCCCGGCTCGTTGACTGACCTGCACCGGTTTCGACGCACTGCACACGGTCATGATGGATCCAGCAGGATTGTCATGGTGCGCAAAACCGATCAGAGGACATTTGCGTCCATACAGAACGGAAAGGAACCTATGTTGGAAACTGTTACGAGGGAAACCATTGAGACTTTTAGGGGACAACGCACTGCTTGCAAGATTACCACTGAGAAGAAGAATAGAGAGGAGACGGTACCGCCTGATTTGGTGGAGACCTTAGCTGAAAAAGCAGATAGGTCAAGGCGGGGTACCCCAGTAAAAACTTCAAAAGTAAGCAAAAAATATTTCATTTTATTTCATTTTTATTAATATAATGTTTTGGTAGAATTTACAGGCTAAAACTCTCGAACAATTTCAAACCGAATGCCTACAAGATCATAACATGTACAGACGGAGACATGGTGTGCCGCCTTTAAAATTAAACAAACAAATGTGTAAGAGCTGCCTGGATCATGCAACTTTTTTGCTCAAAAAGAATAATCTACAACACAGCAGCAACAAGAAATACGGTGAAAATATCTACTTTATTTCATCACCGTCTCTCAATCCGAATACTGATATCAAAGGAAGTGAGCCGGTTGACATGTGGTACCGCGAAGTGAAGAAGCATGACTTTACCAAGGAACCAACACTTCTATCAACGGGACATTTTACGCAGGTAGTATGGAAGGAGAGCCAAGAACTTGGCGTGGCGTTTGTTGCCGCGAAGGGTAAACTTGTCGTGGTCGCACAGTATTATCCTCCGGGGAATATCATTGGGTCGTTTGTCGAAAACGTCCCACCACTTGTGACGAACATTAACAACAACAATTGCATATCGACGCTGAACATTTCCAAGACGGCGAAGAGTAGCTTCAATGCCGCCATTTTAGACGCACATAATAAATATCGCATGTTACATGGCGCACGCCCGCTTGAGTTGGACGCTAACTTGTGTAGGTTTAGCGAAGAATGGGCAAAGATGTGTGCTGAACGTGGTATAATGGAACATCGCAAGAATAATCCCTATGGTGAGAATATTTTCTGTATTCACAATGCCGATCCAAACTTTGTCATCTCTGGTAACATGCCGGTGGACTCCTGGTATGAGGAGCACCAGGCACATCCTTTTGGTCGTGAACCTAGCAATTTATCCACGGGACATTTTTCACAAGTTGTGTGGAAAACCAGTGAAAAACTGGGCGTTGGCGTTGCCACCCGCAATGGCTATACGTATATTGTGGCAAATTACAGCCCGGCTGGTAATTTCGTCGGCCATTTTGCGGAGAGTGTTCTCCCAGCTGGTAGTCTTGCGACTCCGGATCAGGAGCGAGTGAGTTTTGGGGATGAAATTGGTTTTGATCAGTTTCAACTTGAAGCGCTCAAGTATCACAATGAATATCGCAAGAAACACAATGCTCCGCCGTTGACATTGAATAAACAATTGAGTATTTTTGCTCTGGAGTGGGCGCAACACTGTGCGTTTCATGGAATGTCGCATCGGCCGAAAACGAATATGGTGAGAATACCTACATGGTGTATTCGTCTGATTTTAGCTTTACGCCATGCGCCAGAGATGTAGTCAGTACGTGGTACGCCCAAAAACGGCATCATATCTTTGGCTTGGAGTGCGTGAATATGAACACGCTGCATTTCACGCAGTTGGTGTGGAAGGAAACCAGTGAAATGGGTATTGCTCTGGCGAAAAACAGCAAAGGTGAGACGTACGTGGTCGCCAATTATAATCCTAGGGGCAATGTGGTTGGGCACTTCAATGAAAATGTACTGAAGGCCAAGGTTGTTTGACGATTACCTAAACGGCGAATTAAGTCGAGCGAGAGGTAGATTGGGACTTAATAGATTGAAGAATGAGCACCAAGACGGGTATGAATCTATCAGGTGATATTTGCCGTGCCAGTATTTGATATGTACATCAAGAAATGTTTCTTGTTCGCGGATTTGACTTTCGAATTGTCGTTTCATATATTGTAGGCAATTTTGATCACATTTTTATCCAACTAACAAATTATTGTGGGATAGGTAGTTTGATCATTGTAAATCCAATCCTTCCATGGTTGATTAACCATCTTGTTACTTGAACTATACTAATTAACATGTTATGTATTTATACATATATTAATAATTTTCACAACATAAATACAATGACATAGTTCAAAATAATTATTTTATTCCACTTTTTTTTTCTGTTTGTACCTAATACTATTATCCATTTAAAAATATTGTCCCTAGACTGCGCTAGGTGTACCAAAATTCAGTATTTCGGTTATTTATTGTACAATACGTCGCGTTCATAGATTAGCCTTGTATGTATAGTGTCTTATCTTTGTATACGTTGTGCCCACTCCGCCTTGACGTGCGCTTGTTACTTTCTCTTTGCGCGCACGCAGGTATATTCTTACATGATAAGAGGTCAGTTTATTTTTACCGTCGGCTGGTTCATGTTCTGCACTTCAACTCGCCACGTTGCTTGTGCATTTAATTTAATTCGTTAATTGGGTCTCTAATGTAATAGCATACCGCCTGTATTTAGTGGTTACAAAAGTGTATCGAGTCTTCGTTATTTTTTCGTTTGTGTGTGTTCTCAAGCGTGTTCCAGACGCGTGTGTGACCTGCCGCCGCCCGACGGCTAACGCATAACCTACAATTTAAGGATTATTGTATTGAACACGATGCAAGAAAATACAGGTAACGTTTTCGCCGCTTCTCAAAATTGTACCCAGAATGATTCAAAATTGCTCTACAAACTTCAACATTTAGTATTTAGTGTTTCGTATTGGAAATTGGGTCATATCTCGGGAACGGTTTGCATTATTACGGTGTCCTTTTTTGTCTTGTAGAAGAATCATTTTAAACGATACGCATTTGACAACCCCTAATATTCGGCCGGGAACACTTTCAAAATTGGCTTCAAAATTAGTCAATTTTCAGTATTTTTTATGTTTCATCGTTGAAATAGGCTCATATCTCGGGAACGGTTTGTGTTAATGGGGTGTTATTTTTTTGTTGTTATAGAAGAAGAGTCATTTCAAACGATACACGTTTGGAAGGCCCGAAATTTGCCCGGGAACACCCTCAGAACTGGCATCAAAATTAGGCTATTTTCCATATTTTTCATGTTGTGTCGTGGAAATTGGCTCATATCTCGGAAACTGTATGTTTTCTTGGGTTGTTCTTTTTTTGTTATTGTAGAAGGAGAATCATTTTATACAATACACATTTGATACCCCCGGAATTCGCCCGGGAACAGTCTCAAAATTTGCTTCAAAATTATGCAATTTTCAATATTTTTCATGTTTTGTTGTGGAAATTGGTTCATATCTCGGGAACGGTATGCGTTATTGGGGTATTCTTTTTTTGTTGTTATAGAAAAAGGATCATTTTAAACGATAATCAATTTATACTTATAATTGCTACAATTTATACATCAATTTATTGTGTTAACTGCATGCGTGTTTCCGATAGTGAGATGCCGTCGAACGTTGAACGTTGATAACATATTTTGTGATTTTCAATAATAGTGATTAAAATACATATGCATTACATTCTAGACTTGTTCAACTCTCTTTTTCGTCAATAGAAACACAACACAAGTAAGTGAATCAATTAAATCATAGTATTTGTATTCTAAATTAATTTCCCAGTCGCATTGTGTAGAGTACATTCATCCAGAAAATGAAAATTGTATAAAATAATAAGGATTAATTAGGCAAATTAATAATTTGTTTAATTTATGCGATATATTGTTGAGAAGGAATGCAATGTTTACATGTAGGTATTGTCTGTATGCTCTGTATTATTCTGCTTATGTTTGTCCTTTGAATGAATTGTTTACTTTAGTGCCGTTGGATGATTAGTTCATTCGTGTTACTCGCGGATGATGTCGCGTTGTGCGGAAAATACAGATAGTTATTCAATATATTTACGCGACTTATATTGAAATTTGTATGGGCGCCCACTAGTACTCCTTGCGCTAGAAATTGTAGTTTTTTATAAAAACTGACGAATCTAAATCTTTCACCAATTTGCATTTGATTATATCGGAAGTATCGTGACATATGACGTGTGAGTGCACAGGTGACCCTTATTCATCGCACCATACGAGGGTAGTGGTAGGAGTGACTCGTATTCAGGGCACCGTACGAGGGTAACGGTAGAAGTGACTTGTATTCAGGGCGCCGTACGAGGGTAGCGGTAGAAGTGACTCGTATTCAGGGCACCGTACGAGGGTAGCGGTAGAAGTGATTCGTATTCAGGACACCATACGAGGACAGCGGTAGAAGTGACTCGTATTCAGGGTACCGTACGTGGGTAGCGGTAAGAATAACTCGTATTCAGTGCAGTACAAGGGTGATTGCCTAGGCCAACTCGTTGCGTTAGAAATTGTAGTTTTTTCGGAATAACACGCGAACACTGTGTCTCAGTAACATTTCCTAGATGCAGAATGTAATTCTTTATCGCCTTGTATTTGAATTTATTGCGAGATAATTCCGTAACCCGAGTTATATTGAAAATTGTGTGTATGCGCACTAGTATTCATTGCGCTAGAAATTGTAGTTTTTTTTTTAGAATAACACGCGAATGCGGTATCTCACTAACTTCGGAATAATTTTCCCATATGCAGAATTTAATTCTTTATCTCGTTGTATTTGAATTTATTGCGGGAGAATTTCTCAAAGTGCTAGAAATTGTAGTATTTTGGAATAATACCCGAATGCGGTGTTTCGATCACTTTTGAATAATTTACTCAGATGCAGAATTTAGATAAATAATTTGTGGATGTTTGGTCAATAATGCAGAATTAGATTTACCCATCTTAATGTTGCATTTCCTACTCTACTTGTTTATCGCGGTTTGTGTATAAACAACTTCTTATCGCATTGAAGCAGTTCCATGCTAAGTGCACGCACGCTTCAAACGTTCGATCGTTTTAGTTTGTTCCTATCAGCGCGCGGCGGCCCATCTTTCTTCTATTTATTTGATTCAGTGAATTGCATTACGTTTTATGTACTAAAATCAACATCTAATGCTAATACGTGTGCACTCGATTTTGCTATTCATTTGTGCGCTGAACATTTACATAATTTGTGTCTTCATTTGTGTTAATGTTCCGTCTGCCATTGGATTAGTTCGGTGCTGCGAATGGAAATTAAAATTAGTTATATTTCTGCCAATTACCAGAACGTGTAATCAACATCTGTCCTTGTTAGAATGTTACGTTTTCTGTTATATTGCAATATCGCTTGTAATGCAAGTGTAGTATCCGACGGGACGGACTTAAATAGTACGCGAGGTAGTGTTCTAACACATGTGTTTTTTTTTTGGTTTCAGCCCTAGATTACCTGATGCGGGAGGAAGTTTGTAAATATTATTACATCATTTTTACATTTTGCTCTTTAATTGCGTGTAGTAGATAGGTGTATTGTTATAACTTTAAATTGTCGCGTGCCGTCAGATGCATTTTGGGTCCCGTTACAGAAAGTTTGTTTCACCATTCCTTTTCATTTCACATTTTTATGTGTGTTTGCAATCTTTATTCTCTAATCGTGTTGATGTGTTTAGTAGTTTGACAATGAATCACTGCCCGTAAAATATTTACAATATGCGATTTCAATGTTTCCTACTGCGTGTGCGTGCCGTCGGCTGGCACTTTATCTGGCGATTGCGTCGCAATTTAAATCTTAATTTTGCAATAAAATTTATAATGGTGTTGAATTCTATTGTTCTCTTACCTTATCAGGCAACAATTTAAAATTTCTTGTAGTTCTTGCGCTTTAGTATTTACTTCCTGAATGTAGTGGTATTTTTGTTGTGTCGCCTTCTCTTGCATTTTTCTTCGATATACATTGTGAAAATTGTAACATTTTTATTTGATAGATGTTATCTTTCGAGAATTTTGAGTTTTGTTATTTTTGTAGTAATTTTCTTTTTGGGTCACCCTATATATTCCATTTTCCTGCTGCCTGATCAAAAATTGACCAACCTTGTTATTTCCTGATATTTTTTGCTTGACCTGAGCATTTTCTGTTTAAATATTGTCATTTCCTTTTGGTTACACCATGTATATTTGTTTTCCTTGATTTGCAATCAACTTTTGACTATTTTCTTTTGGATTCCAATATTTTCTGTCTTAAATATCTGTTTTTTCTTTTTGCAACACCCTGTATATTACTTTCCATCTTACGAAAATCCTGTTAAATTTATTGTTGGAATTTTCTTTTGGAAGCATGTAGAAATTAACTGAGCATTGTTTTAAAGAGTGTCCCTTGCTTGAACTTTGATTTTATACAACACCCTGTATATGTGCTTTCCTCCCAAGTGGAAAATTGGCTTCATTTGTAGAGTTTGGAAGTTTATGTATTCTAATATGTAGTTGTTCTTGTTTAGATACACCCTGTATATCAGTTTCCCGTGGATAGTGGTTAAGATGTATGTTATCGTCTTATTTATTTATTATTTAAGATTTTTTAAATAATATTATTTGTGTGAAACATCCTGTATATTAATTCCCTTATGTCCCTTAAAATCAGGCATGATATATGTTTTCCTACTTGTACTTTGATTTTTTTAAATAATCGAATTTTCTTTTTGCAACACCCTGTATATTGGTTTTGCATATTCTGTCCGGAAAGTTTGATTACATTTGTTAGTGCTTCGTGTTTTCTTCTGTAACTAGTTACGAGTATATGTCTGTCCCGACAAAAAGGCGACCTCTACTTTGTTATTCTCATGTTGTGATTATAAGTTCTCTGTACGTTTAATTTTAATAAAGATATTACAAAAGTGGTTGTTGCTCATGACTTGTTAGTTTCCCTTCTATCATTTCAGGTACAGGTCAGAACTTGTAAAAATATTTTTAAGTGTCGGCTGTCTTGAGAGGACCTTAAACTTAGAAATATGTTTACAAATCCTCATAAGGAATGTCCTTATTCCTTATAAGGAGTTCTCCCACTCGGGGGATGATCCCCCACCATAAAAATTGTTGATATGCCTGAGAATCCTGGGGATGAAGCGTAGAGACATCGTAGCTGTAGGTTGGGCCGGGAGCAATGGACGCATCGAAGCAGTGGGCAATAAGTGTAGACTGTCTTATAGAACGACACGCCGCCAAAAAATTTAAAAATCTGATCCACTCCTGCTTTCGGGGTGGCTTTTCTCTCATTCCACTACTCTAGTACTCTTCTACTACCTCCCCGCTCTTGTTATTTATTCTTCTCTTCTTTCTACCAACTTGCTTCCACACTGTATTGCATATTCTTTAAGGATTTTATTGTATTTGATTGATTTTACATATGCAACCCAGATTTCAACAGTTATTTTTATATTTGAGAAAACGTCCTACAACAGCTGGGGATCGAACCAGCAATCCATCGTATCGTAGCATATCCTACGTACCACTGAGCCACAACGCTCTGTTATCAAGTCTTGTTTGTTTCTGTTATTTATATTTATAATTTTTATAGTATGTAGTATGTAAGTAAAATTAGTTACATATAGTATACTTTATTCTTGTGTTAAACATGTATTACAACTAAATCTGAAAACAGCAAACCTAACACAAGGAATAAATATGAACAGAAATATATGATTACATTATTCTTTATTGCATATAATGAACATATATTTAGTAAAGTACATTTTTACTACATGTTCCTTACTCACTTGTGCACAAAAACCAATCTGCAAATTATTATAAGAAATTATGTTCCTCCCTTTATTACTCAGGCGTTGGCAGCCTATCCACAAGGAGAACAAACGTACTTAATTTTACACTAAACTAATTGATCCAAAGACCGGCTGCATGCAGCGTACACACTCACAGTAAAGTCCACAATATAAAAACAATTGATGGCAAACCTATTTAAATACTAGTATTTCCCACATTAAAATCAAGAAACGCAAAAAGTAACTACAACGGTCCACAAACGATGAGAACGCGTGCACACGCCACGACAACGCACAGCAAACTAAACACAAATAACAGCCAAAGCCAATAGTGTAAACTCGATCGAAAAACAGTTGCATACATTCGTTGGGTTGGAGACAATTTACACAACAGCACCTGTCGAACACAATAGACGCGATTAAAGTTAAATACGCCACGTGAAATAATCGCGCGCAACTCAACACTGTACAAATGAAATGATAAAAATTCAAGAAAATAGTATAAAGTTGGCATATAACTCAATTTTAAAATATTCCGGAGATTGAAAAAGCGTAGCCTTCAACTCTTCCTCAACAAAACTACGAAGAGATCACCCCAATAACACATACAGCTCCCGAAATATGAACCCATTTCCACGACAAAACATGAAAAATATGGAAAATTGCTTAATTTTGATGCTAATTTTGAGGGTGTTCACGGCTGAATTTCGGGGTGGTCAAATGCGTATCGTTTAAAATGACTCTTCTTCTATAACAACAAAAAAATATCACCCCTTTAGCACAAACCGTTCTCGCGATATGAGCCAATTTCCACGATAAAATATGATAAATATTGAAAATGACTTAATTTTGAAGCCAAATTTGAGGATGTTCCCGGCCGAATTTCGGGGGTATCAAATGCGTATTGTATAAAATGATTCTCCTTCTATAAGAACAAAAAAAGAACACACCAATAACACAAAGCGTTCCCAAGATATAAGCCAATTTCCACGACAAAACATGAAAAATATTGAAAATTGTCTGATTTGGAAGCCAATTTTGAGGGAGTTCCCGGCTAAATTTCTGAGGGGTCAAATAAGTATCGCTTAGATTTACTCTTCTTCTACAATAACAAAAAAAGACACCCTAATAACACGTACCGTTCCCGAGATATGAGCCAAAGTTCACGAGGAAACATGAAAAATATTGAAAATTACTTAACTTTGAAGCCAATTTTGAGGGTGGCTGGCCGAATTTCGAGGATGTCAAATGCGTATCGTTTAAATTGACTCTTATGCTATGACAAGAAAAAAAAGAACACCCAAATAACACAAACCGTTCCCGTGATGTGAGCCAATCCTACGATAAAATTTGATAAATTAAAAATTTTGAAAATTGTTTATCTTTAAAGCCAACTTTGAGGCTCTTCCCAGCCGAATGCCGGGAGCGGCTTTTGCGTATCCTTTTAAATGACTCTTCCTCTACAAGACTAAAAAGAAAATACGCCTATAACGCAAACCGTTTTCGAGATATGAGCCAATTTCCACCATGAAACTTGAAAAAAATTGAAAACAGCCTAATTTTGAGGGTGTTTTCGGCCGAATTTCGGGGGTGTCAAATGCGTATCGTTTAAAATGACTCTTTTTCTATAACAACAAAAAAGGAACACCCCAATAACACAAACCTTTTCTGAGATATTAGCCAATTTCCACGATTAAACATGAAAAGTATTGAAAACTGTCTAATTTTGAAGCCAATTTTGAGAGTGTTCCCAGCCGAATTTCGGAGGTGCTTAATGCGTATCGTTTAAAATGAATCTTCCTCAACAAGACTAAAAAGAAAACACACGAATAACACAAACCGTCCCCAAAACATAAGCCATTTCCCACGATGAAACATGAAATGAAAATATTAAAAATTGCAATTGAGAAGCCAATTTTGAAAATCTTCCTGGCCGAATTCCGGGAACGTTAAAAGTGTATCCTTTAAAATGACTTTTCCGAATACGAGTCACTTCTTCCGCTACCATCGTACGGTACCCTGAATACGAGTCACATCTACCGCTGCCCTCGTACGATGCCCTGAACACGAGTCACATCTACCGCTGCCCTCGTACGGTGCCCTAAACACGAGTCACGTCTACCGCGCCCTTGTACGGTACCCTGAAAACAAGTCCCGTTTACCGCTCCCTTGTACGGTACACTGAACACGAGTCACATCTACCGCTGCCCTCGTACGGTGCCCTGAATACGAGTCACGTCTACCGCTCCCTTGTACGGTGCCCTGAACACGAGTCACTTCTACCGCTGCCCTCGTACGGTGCCCTGAATACGAGTTATATCTAGCGCTATCCTCGTACAATGCCCTGAACACGTGTCATTTTACCACTCACACGTCATTATGACTCTTCTAGATCCGCATCACAGAAAATACATCCGAAGTTGCTGAGAAAAATATAATGATATTCTTTCCAAGATTATCCCATATTGGCCATGAATACATCTTGTCTCTATTCCTAGAATATAAAGGAGAATTTAAATTAAAAAATTGCACATCAAAAAATATTGTTTATTGTCGAAATATGTGCTAAAAATATTTAAAAAAAAAACTACCTGAATTCCTAAGCCAGCGCGTCGATGGCAGGAAGACAACGACAACGCAGCAAATTCTGCGCGTTGCATTTCAGCCGTCGACTGCCATAAAAAAAGTTGTTTACATACCAACTTAGTCTGATAAGCACATATTGTGTAAAACGAATACAATTCTCCTATAAAATGACTACACTGGCATTTAAATACATACATAATAAATACAAGCCAATATTATATTCATAAATAATAATAAATTGGATAATTTAAACAGAATATTACAAATTTGTTCTTTTAATCCTTATTATATTTATTTCATTTTCATTTTCTCCCAAATGTGGTTATTAAGCATTTAAACTTGCAACTGAATTTAATAAATTTATTACTTTCTTTTGCGAATACGTAATCCATTGTATATTTGAAATATTATGAAATATACATAAAGTTTATGAAGATGCCCTCTGGACGAAACATGTTAACTCAAAATATAAAAATTGTAAACTCAATATTCACGTAAAATTTATAAATAAATATTTCAAATGAATTTAATACACAAATACCACGATTTAATTTCTTTACTTACATGCATTTCGAACACTACTAAACGATAGTAGATTCTAAAATAAAAAAGAACAGAAAATAAGTTTTACCATTATGTACTGTTCTGGATAATCGCTACAAACTAATTTTAATTATAATAATTGAAAATCAGAACATATTGACATTCGGCATCCGACGGCAACTCACTCACGGAAACACTCGTGAAATTAAGCATAATAAACACTAAAAATCACATTTAGAAATATTCCACACGCGATAAATCTTTAGCAAAACACAAAACACATCAATTAACCGTCAATAATGACTGTGTCAATATTTAAATAAAATTACTATTATGTGAAAATTTCATGTTTAAACAATTTTACTTTGGCAACTCTTATACACTTTCAATGCGTCTGGCAGGATGATAGAACCGACCAAACTGTCTGGCGTGAAAGAAAACACAGTTTCATAGCTCTCTGCATAATGTGTATCAAATTCAGCTTTCCTAATATAACTAAAGTTCAAAAATTAAAAAAAATATTATAGTTTAGGGGTGTCTGGCTAGGGTTGGAACCATACCAGGTGTCACGCAATGATCAGCGCATGTTGTAATAATGATACGAACAAAATATTAACGCGTTTGCCGTGGAAAAACAAACAAACAGGGGCGTAGCTACCGCCGTATTTGCCGTATCAATTATACGGGCCCCCCCGGGCCACGGGGGTCCCCAAATTGTGTAAGGAAAAAGAATAAAAACTTTCTAATTTATTTTATTTTACAAATGACAAAATTAATCTTAATCTTTGTGACCAATTAAAGGCACTAAAAACATGCTTAAATTCTGAAATTAAAAAAATTTATTCCATTAAAGAACTCATTGAATCATTGCTAGTAAAATTCAATAGTCTTGCATCCAGTTTTCCCGAGGTAATCACAGCATGCCTTTTATTCTTGACCCTTCCAGTTAATACCGCAACGGCAGAAAGAAGTTTTTCAAAATTAAAACTAATCAAAAATTATTTAAGAACTTCGATGGGACAAGAATGGCTGTCAGACATCTCACTATTGTCCATAGAGGCAGAAACTTTAGAAAAACTAAAATCATCATCAGCCATAAATCCTTACTAATATTATAAATGCGTATGTCCTGAAGTTTATCGTGCTTTCACGCAAAAACTACTTAACAGATCATCACGAAAATTTGTACCCATGCTCTTAGTGGTCCCCGATAGGTTATATGCTACTTTTTATTTAATAAAAATAATTATTTTTTTAAATAAAATAAAGAAATTGTTTAGTCACTAATACCTCTGCATCTGGTTATTTGACTACTTTAACGCCATCTAGCATTCCAGCAATGAAGCTCACACCTAAGTACTATAGTACCATCACACTGTATTACCTACAGCTACGTCAACATCAAATCCGTACACATATTCTTAGTGGTCCCCGATGGTCTCCGAATGGTTATATGCGACTTTTTTATTTAATAAAAAAATTTTTTTTTAAAATAAAATAAGAAATTGTTTAGCCAATAATACCTCTGCATCTGGCTAATTGACTACTTTCACGCCATCTAGCATTCCATCTAAAATTTAAAACTTTATTGCATGTAGTATTTTTTTCACATAGATAATCCTAGCCAAGCAGTGAAATATACATTCTTTCTATCAATCCGTTTCAACTATGTATAATGATTTCTAATATTTATTTGATTTATTCAACTCGAGCGAAGCCTCGGGTTAAAGCTAGTAATTTAATAAATCAGTTTGCCGAAAAAAAGGCAAGGAGAGTGAATATTTAAAGTTCGATTTTTATTTGTTAAATGGGTAAATTATGTGATAAATAAATATTTCTTCTCACAATATTTTTTCTTTTGTGAAAAATTTTACCTCCATATAAGGGCCTCCAAAAAAATTTTTATACGGGGCCCCGACAAGGCACGCTACGCCGCTGCAAACAAACAATACAAATATATGCCAGCGCCTACTATAGGACAAAACATCGAATTCAACTTAACTAAACATAACTTCAACAGTTTTCTATCACTGGTCGACGTCAGCGGTACGCGATGACGAAAAGATGAACGTTATATTTAATTCATAATCCATACTCACCTTAGGTTATATTTTGCAATCCACTAGTTAACAAAACTTTCTATTTTTACTTTGTAATATTTTAAGTTTGATTTAATAAAATTAATATTAAATTGGTTTACAAAGGGTACATGCCACTCTACTTTATGGGTGGATTTCAATCGTTTACAACTTGCGAAGCGCGTTTCAGTGGCTTCTGCCTGCACGACGAGAACCAACGTCTTTATCGAGAATACTCGGTGTACAACAGCTGGAAATATCGATTCCCTCAATGCCAGCGACATCTAGACGATCCTTTTGTATTACATTTAGTTTTGCTTACTTGAAGAACAGATTTCATAGCACAGCAGTTGAGTAGCCCTCGAAAATACGCGTTTCAGCATACCAATATTGATTCAGTTATTGCACACTCTTTTCAGTCACATGTTAGACCTAAACGCGTTGCAAGTAATATTTATCTAACTCAAATTTGAATTTCTGTAGTTCCAAAAGTCAGTACCTGCGATTTTGTTAAGGTAGTAATAATAATGCACCCGTTAACGTCTATGACATGCGTTCGTTTCTCTAGTGGGAATTTCCTCATCCTGCGACCCTTCAAATCAGCACCTCGCAACGCGCCCCGTTTTTTTTATCAACTCCAGAGCATCCAAATTAAAATAAATTCACTAAAGGCATCAAGAAAACTATAAATGAAGTAATAACTTTAATATCTTTTTTTTATAAACAAGTGGATGTTTGAATGCACAATATAGTTTGGTAAACAAGGTTAATACGATCCAAGGATGTATTATATTGCAACATATTACGTCTTATGCTTTTAATATTTATGAATATTTGCATTTATTTAGCAATTATAAGAAGAAAAAAAAAAGATATCCGAAACAAAATGACGATTAAACGAATCTTGCATTATTGCATAAAAACTGTAGACCGGAAAACAACTAAAAAACATCCTGCTTCATTTAAAAATCAATTCAGTCGAGTGAAAATCATTTACTACTGATGCACCCGTTTTTGAAATACTACGTCAATAAAACTCTTCACTTTCCTATTAGATTGTTCTTAAAATCATCGTTTGAAGTTGCGAAATAAAAGGCCATTATTTTGATACATTCGCAAACTTTAGTGAATCTTTTTTATGGTATCATTTTTAAATTTACGACTTCTTATTTAATTTTTATTGATTTACTGTAATCACGTAATATATTAATTGCAATTTAATTTTTGTTTTTACATATTTTGGCAATTGTCATTTTTAAAGCAAATACAAATTAATATTTTGCTCACCAAAGTGCTATTTGTTAGAACAACAGCGAACACTCCACAGAAAAATGTTTAAAAATGCCAATTAGATAAACTTTTTAAAATTAAAATAAAATTATAACACATGCCGGACTTTCTAATGGTAATGAAACCTGAATTAATCCATGATGTGTTTCTAAATCAGATTAATTGTTGCGTCAAATAAAAATATTAGCTTTTATGATATTTCCGAAATAATTTACGGAATAAATTCATTGTGAAGAGAAATGCCTATTAACTCATGTCAGTTCACTCATTGACAAAGCATCAAAAAACGGCTGTTGAGTGCAATTATGTAGACCCGGTATTTTTTGATAGAAGCATAATCATTCTTTTAATAAAGCACGGTGATGATATACATGATAAAAAACGCTGTTCACAAGCAGGGTAAACTGCAAAAAACTAAACGAACTTATATTTCTGTGAAGTTGCCAGAGCCATAAAAATGTTCTAATATTGATTTTTGCAAAATGGCATGTATTTTAATGGCCCAATAATTGGCAGTGATCTTGATAGTGATAACGAGTGCACCGTTGACGCAGTTGTTGCACCAGCAAGGTATCACATTATCGTACAGCAGTGCAAATATCACAGAACCAATTTGGACAAATTGCTGAAAAATTGGATCGGAGATATTCCAACTAAAGTAAAGATACTTTTTGTTAAAATATATAAAATAATAAATATAATTTATTATGGAAATCTAAAGAAATTAATACAATCTATAAATCAAGGAACTGCAAGAATATGTGGATAATAGTTGAATAACAAAGTTGCAACTATTCTTTAAATAATCTTCGTAAACAATAGAATTCAAGTCAGTTCATGTTTTTTCAGGTGGAATTTACCAGGAGACACAGCCGCGAGCGTTTTGCAATTAGTGAGTACGTTAATTAATTAAACAAACGCCCGATAGCTTTTTATTTAATTTATTTTTTTACTGCCTTTGGATTGTACTGTAACTTATTGTTAAAATATATAAAATAAGAAATAAAATTTATTATGGAAATCTAAAGAAATTAATATTAAAATCTACGCGGCCAAAGTCGCCGACAAAAGCTAATTTAATACAATTGATATAAAACAGTACGTGTGAAGCTATAATTAGTGAGCCAAATGAAAGACTGCATCTTATTCCATTTACTTTTTTAATTGGCTTCTGACGGTTTTCATCCCATTTTGATGTTAAAATCATTTCTTAAGACTTAGATAGTAGCGGCGTTCACGTGGTGGAATTCCATAATCACTAAGTTTAAAAATAAAAGATTCTTTTTCTTCTTCTTTGTATTAATTATACAAATTTTGATAATAAAACTATATAAATATATAAATATATTTATCTGCTGTATGATAAAACATGTTTTATTGTAAATTTGTAAACTTCAAAAATTAACTTATTTTATTCTATATTCTATAGAATACAACATTTAAATCCAACAAATATGGCAAAAGTTATGAAGATGTAATAACGAATCAGTTGCATATTTTCAGCATTGTTCTTTCAATACGTATGAAAATCAATGTTTAGGACAATTTTACAATATCCGGTTGTGTGCTTGACATTTAATTAACTGAATACAAACGAATCAATAACATGAATTGGCTTCCTTATACAATATAGGTTGCAAACCGATTCAAATTCATAAGCTTATAATTAAATGACAAAAACATAAGTACGGTTATATACTGGCGAACTAACTTACAAAAAACACTAAACATTTCTATATTTAAATATTTTGTGCTTTGTGATAACCTTTTTTCAAGTGCCAATTTTCAGTAATATTATAAATGGATTTTTAACTGAGAGAGATACCATACAATTGTCGATTCAGCAATAAACCAGTGCAAATCGACTAAAACTCTCTCAGTCAAAAATCCATTCTTCAGTAATATTGTTGAGTCAAGCACTACTAATCGAGTTACCTTTCTATAGTATGAGTACAAGGGCTAGATAAAAGCAACAAGTGGCAAGGCGTGCAGGTTTGTTGTGTTATCAATCGCACTGCATTCTATGTTCTTGCTTGTCGAGCACGCGTTTCTGCAAAGTGAAAATTCGAATTTGATTGAACGCGCAACTATGAACAGGATGGAACTCTTGTAACACTATCTGAAATTAAAATTGATGAGAATTGCTCTTTTGGATATACTGACATATATACCTACTTTATGTATCATATTAGATGATATTTTTGTGAAGGCAAATATCCAATCATAATCTAATCAATTCTAAAGCTTCTAAAACCAAAAGCATTATTTGAATGCACTGATCATTTACCCTTTTTTATAATTTATTATTATTTATTATATAATCCAATAATCCCATGATTTCTTATGTTTTCCGCAAGACAATGCAAACACGTGGTCCTTAAATTAAACCAATTTCATATATCTGTACCCCATCCTTCCTCTCAAAACCACGATTATCTGTACTATTACTTGGACAGTATGGTCCTTTACTTTTACAAATTTATGATTCTACTAGCTTTAACCCGCGGCTTCGCTCGCGAATATCTAAAATAATGAAGTTGCTTCCGTACGCGTCTGTAGTCACAGAAGTAACAATGAAGTAGAATGGCGGGAAGTTTAAAATGGCTGAAAGTATAGTCTATGGAAGTATAGTGTACATTCTCCATAGTGTAATCAATTGGATTTCATGTTGACGTAGCTGTCGGTAATACAGTGTGATGGTACTATAGTACTTAGGTTTGAGCTTCATTGCTGGAATGCTAGATGGCGTTAAAGTAGTCAAATTGCCAGATGCAGAGGTATTATTGGCTAAACAATTTCTTTATTTTATTTAAAAAATAATTATTTTTTATTAAATAAAAAGTAGCCTATAACCATTCGGGGACCACTAAGAATATGTGTACAAATTTTCATAATGATCGGTTCAGTAGTTTTTGCGTGAAAGTGTAACAAACATCAGGACTTTCGCATTTATAATATTAGTAGGGATAACAACAAACACTACACACACCGATCTCACACATTCTTAAAGTTTGAAGCGTTTATAGTATAGTATAGTGTATCGGTTATACACAAAATCTGCATGCGCCCGACAAGTATTTTTTCATAATCAATTCAAACAGATCAAATCAATGAGAACAAGATTTTGTTTATTTTGTCGGAACTCTAGAATTGAAATGATTTCTTATTGTTATTTTGTTCAGAGTCCCTGAACAAATGATATCGTATAATTTAACATTAAAAGTTAATAATAGACGGCGCGAGCGCAGTTGCTAGGACCTAATGGACAGTTGCAGCGGTGCAGCGATAGAGACTACTCAGTTGAACTTCGGTATTCAAACGGAACACTCTTCGGTCGAGTAGTAGTCAACAACACGAATGTGAAAGGTGCCAAAATAAATAAGCATCATATAATTATAATAAAGCGTGCATTTTGCTACTCTTTTGGTCTCGCACACATCAAAGATACAAAAAGTAAGTAGAAACTTAAATTACGTTTTTGATCATGTGTAGTATTAACAAAAAAGCAATGATAGCTGTGTTAATTTCTGCTAAGCAGAAAAACTGAAATCGAGTAATACTTATCATCCATTTTTAAGTGTTATTGTTGCAATGTAATTTAAAATACCTACACGAACAATTGTAATTATCAATAAAGCATAATATTAGAAATGTGATTTATAAATCACATTTATGGTTTTTATTTACGCTTAAAATGCCATGAAGAACTTACACACTGAAAACAATAATTTCTAAAAAGAACGCATGTTATTCATCGGGGCAACAATAACCGTTTATATTTGAACGCAACTTTTTTTACCTCTTTAAATTTTAGTTTTAGTTAACCAATCAAGTTGATCAAGTGATCGAAGTAAGTAGTGATTGTTTAGCATAAAAAGCTCTATGCTTTTGTGGAGGAATTATTTCATGTTGAAAAACATTGTTTACGAAATATTTTTGCTGCCGACATATTGACACATATGTGTATAACATTTAATCAAAATTCAAAATCCATTCCTTGTCAGCATTTCACTCTTGGCGCGGTGATTGAATTGAAGCAATTAACAATATGTTTATAAAACCGTTGTTTTGTAGGCACTGTTTGTATGCTGAAATACAAATAAAGGACCTTTGTTGTGAAGCATCGTTAAATTGTAACGTAACATTTTTACCCGGAGGGGATCAAAATAGTTTTATCAAACTATGTTTTGTGATATACTAACACACAAGAGGGTGTAAATATACTGTTAAGTGAAATTACATTACTCCATAACAATATAATGGAGTATATATTTAAAACAATTAAATCTAAAATTGATATATCGCGCTTTTGCTGTGAAAGTAGTTGGTATAGTCATGTGAAAAAGCGATGTTCGTGGGTATGTGACTAAACTCCTCCTAAACGGCTGAACCGATTTTGATGAAATTTTTGGTGTGTGTTTAGGTGGGTTTGAGAACGGTTTGGATTCACAAATCGGTCTACTTGGAAATGTTTCAGTTCCAGTATTTTTCAAAAGTAAAAAAAACGCCTAAAATTAACAATTATCAAATAGGAAGTCATTTTGTGACAATAATTATAAAAATGAATTTGTCAATTTTGAAATAGAAAATATTCAGGACAGCAAAGTCGGAACGAAGTTTGGCAGGGCAGCTAGTATATTATAATATTCCATTGATGTTTAGAACTGTTTCACAATATCTGGTTGTGTGCTTTACGTGCTGATTTAACACATGTAGATTTAACCATGACTATATTCTATTATGTTCCAGTTGTTTTAAAATGGGTTATATTGTTTGGTTAATGTTAACGGCTTTAATCTGCCAATCATGGACAGAGCGGCAACTTAATTTTACGTAAATACACAAACTTTCATTTTTCTCTTAAGACAAATGGCTAAATTTGTAACAATTGAGTGATTGTTTTTAATCCTTTTGTTGTAGGAAAGATTTTCGTATAAAAACATCAAATTTATCCGTCCACCACTACTTCATCGATTCAGTTCAAAACATCATAGCGATGCCATTAATAGCAGGTAAATACAAAGAATTTATTTAGGTATATGACGTTAGTCGATTCCAGTGAAGGCAGTCTAAGTATACATTCCAAGCTAGCTATTATATTGAATATAAGGTTTCCTGTTTTGACGACATGATGATAAAAATATCTTTAATTAAAGCAAATTACGAAACAACAATATACTGTAGGATTGTTGATACAAATAATAATAATATGGACTTTTGGCAGTTAAATGATAATAATTTAATGAATATAAAACGTGAATGACAGTAAAATCCCCAAAAATATTAAGATTACACAAAATAAGTCAGTTAAATTCTCAGACAACTCCAGCACACCCGACGTCCACAACTTCTAAATGATGACTGGTTTAAAAAGGGCGTCTGTCGTCTGTATAGCCCCAATGCCCTTGAAGTGTGCTCATTCGTCTGAAAGGCTCTCGAATGTTAGCCGTTCAATCCTACAATACTATGGAACAATAGTAGGATTTTATAATGAATTTTATATTCCATACGTGTTATTTCAGCTGGAAAGAAAAGTCCGACCCATTGGCCGACTTGTTACGACTTGGTCGATATGACAAGCGAGTATCTCCACCCGTCAATGGTAGGTGAATTTGATTAATAGATGGAAAATATTCTTTCATGTTTTTGACTAAACCACAATGCAATAATCAGTAACAAATACATACAAATGCACGCCAATATTAATATGAATATGTATATTTAAATGCTTTATAGTCTCAGTTACGCACGTGCTCACCAATCACTTTATGTATTAATATTTATTCCTTTATAATTATTTTCATATTGAATTGTGAGTACCTATAGTGCTCAAATTTAAAAAAAAAATGGTTGTTTGTAAAGTAGGTTTACGATCGAGATGTTTACGTGATAACGTCTTATTGGTGATATAAGTTTTGTTTGTTGCAATTGTTGTAACACTTCACTTGCACTTCACATTTTGTTTTACTGTTAGGCTCCCCGCACACTACAAACTTTTTATCGGCCGATAGTTTGGTCGGGCTTATAATCAGTATGAAGATGTATGCAAGTCCGCATACTACAACGATTTTGTATCGGCCGATAAACAAGTTTGATGGGCTACCCAACTGTGTTCAAACAAAACTATCGGCCAACCAGGCCAACTATCGGCCGACTGCGATATCAGTATGGAGCTCGTCGCAAGCGCGCACACCTACCGATTGTTTAGTCGGCCGACTTGATCAATTTAGTTCGCTCAGAGTATTGGTGCAGTCGGCCGACTGTTGTCTAGTGTGCGCACTCACCACAAACCCAACTGTTTAGTTGGCGTAGTGTGCGCGCTCACAGCCCAACCCGATCAAAATATCGGCCGATAAAAAGTTTGTAGTGTGCGGGGAGCCTAAGGTTATAACGAGAGGGGGGTATACCTGCGATCGGCCTCGAGAGGCCTCGTGACACAGTTTCTGAACCGGTCACCCGTAAAACGATTTTAAAGACGTTATCACGTCAATAAATACATATGAACAAAATATCGAAATATATAAAAATATTAAAGTGAGTTAAAAAATTAGATTTATAAAATCGTAGGAATATCAGACAGATTAAATAGATCGGAGGATTCAACTCCGGTAGAATTTTAATGAGTTCTTACTACTTCTGACTTTAGTTTTGAGTTGGAAAGTGTAAATGCTTACTATAAGTGTAAATATTTACTATACTAATATTTTCGTTTTAGGAACACTCACTGTCAATGTCGAAATTACGTTATTGACGTTGTCACATATCAGCAGACACTTGTAACAGACAGTCTTGTAAGTATTTACATACTCGTTAGATCAACCATATATAACATAATTGTTAAATTAATTTTCCCTTTTTGGTGTCATCACGAGTACAGTTATATTATTGTTTCCAAATGCGAGGTCAATATTTTCATTGGTTTTAGAATTATGAAGTAGATTTAATTCTGCAGCAAAGATGGCGCGATCCGCGGTTGGGGTACAATTTGATCGATGAGAAGAACGACTATTTGAATGCTATCTATCATTATGGAGATATCTGGTTGCCCAACACGTATTTCGTTAGCGATGATTCTGAAGAGTCATCTCCTCATGATAACTTGGAATTGACCATTTCTCCTAATGGAACTGTCAATTATCTCATGGGGTAATAAAGTTTAAGTTTATCGTATAAATTACTTTTAACGTTAAATTGTTATCACCGTGAAATTCATACTTATGTTTCAGACAACATCTCAACTTATCTTGCCTAGACATCATAAATACATTTCCGGTAGGCGATCCGATCTGCTCGTTCAAGATGAAAAGCCGTAAGTACTGAAAAATCTATCATTGCATATAAAAACATAATGTACAGGCTAGTTTTTTCTTAACCATACAGGTTTTGAAATACATTTGATTTTGGAAAAACTTAATTCATTTTCGCTTTAATATTTAGCAACATTTCATAAAAGAGAATGAAGCGCAACTTAAAAAGCAAATTAAAAAAGCGTTGTGAAGACATTATGACGGATTTCTCTTCTATACACTGAAAAATAATTGTTAAAAATCAAATCATGAAACAGAAAAAATTACTGACTTTTTTGTAAATAAATAAATTAGTTCATTTTAATTTCAATTTTAATTTAAATAAGCACGATCAATCAACATTCCTCTTTCATAACGAAGACTAAGTATTATAGTCTCTTTCATTAATTTATTGTGTATATATGTATATATAAATGGCTTGTGATTAAATTAACGTGAAACATGTTTAACTCATTTTACAAAATTGTAATCTAAATCACGTTAATTTAATCAATAAATATATTTATATATAATAATACTTTTAGTTCGAGTGGTAATGATGGTAAAAGCCAAGTCAAACATAAACTTATTTATTTACGTTTAATATGATGGCTTGAACACCGACGGCAATAGTGCAAGTATAACAGAAGTAGTATTGATTATACAATTATGAAACTTCCCGTTGCATGCAGCATCAATCACTTATAGTATAAAACAGCATTTCAATGAAAATTTAATATAAACGAAAAACAGTACGTTTAATATAATTGTGAGTAAATGCAGAGTATTCATAATTATATATACAGTAAATAAATTAAAAATAGATTACCTATTATTCGACATCAGAAGAAAATAAAAAAGTCTCTTTCCTCTTTCACTCATGTTTTGTTACGTTAAAAGATTTTAACTTAAAATTATATTCAGTAACCTTCAACTCTCGATAAAATTTCTAACCTTCCTTGAACTTTAATTCATCGAGGTTCTACAGTACTGCAAATTTAAGTTAATTTTAAATAAGTCCGACCGAGCGGATTTTAGCCGAAACCGGAAACCGAAACCGAAACTAATTTATTTACATAAACATATTTTTCTACTTTTTAGCTACACATCATAGTTTTTCCACGTTTTTTAGACGTAATCCATTTCGATTAAAGTCCTCGTTGAGTCGCGATACTTAATATAGTATTAATATGAACGAACTAAGATGGCAAAGTAACATTTATATTAGCCGCGAGGGATTAGCCGAGCGTGCGATAACAATTCACGAAAGTGAGTTTCGGTGCGGCCGAAATTTCGTACGACGCGGCGAAACCGGAAACTGAAGCCGAAACTAGAATTCTTGGCGGGCTTGGCCGAAACAGAACCGAGCCGAAATTTCGGTGACCTCTAATTTACAAAGTGAAAGCGCTAACGGAATCATTTGTTTTAAATTAATGAATAATGCTATAACAGGAAACACACGTGTTCACGTTTTGTATATATATATTTATAAAATTACACGTGATTTTGATTACAAAGTTTTTCAGAGGTAAAACGGTTTCGCGCCTCGAAGGGCATCTTCTTTGTTATTTATGCTTTATTAAAATGCTTGGATCAGGTTCATTGCAATCGGACTGCCATTGAGTACGTTTAGGTAGCGGTAAAATATTGTCAAAACATCGCGTCAAGTTTTACAGCACTGAACACCCACTTGATCAAATGCACCAAGCGGCCTGCCGATGAATATAAATCGGCAGGAATTAATAAATTGTTGTTTAATGTGACATAAAACAGTATATTTTATGAACATGTCGTTTCTTCTGCATTATCATTTTTGCGTATATTATTCTTTTTCTCTGTTCTTGATCAGTTCAATGTTTAACGTTCGTGGACATGATACTGGTATTTTGTCTACTTCCACTCTATTTATTTTCCCATGGTGGTTTTTGTTAATCTATTTGTATTGTAAAACACAGCACTGGAAGGGACAATTGCTTGTCATTACCTGCTGGTACTATTTACAAACTCCACCCGCGACAAGCTCCAACATAGCCAAAACTGAAAAAAAACTGAAGGTGAAATGTGGAGTAGGAAAATATGTTACCGGGAACCAGAAATACTTGTGTTAATAAATTTTCATAACAATAAACCAAGATCTCTTTATGCTTTATTTTGTTTTCTTATTTAACTTCAGAAAATTTATATGCGTCAATGGCTGCTATATAAATAAAAATATTTTATTCAAACTACAAATTTCGTTGGGAAATTGCCAAGGACAAAACTGATTCTGATGCTATTATTTAAAATAAAATCAAATTTAATTGGTAGGTGTATGAAATATTAATTGTTTTTGTGCTTCTCCACATTGCCCAGGAAAAGGCGCATAATATGCACAATATAACTGAATATTAATATTGGTTTGTTCATGAAGAGAATTATCGCTGTCTGGAAATAAACCTGAAGGTTGCTACAGATATAAATTACTACATCAACTTCTTTCTTCTTATTATCCTGGTAGATATATCTTTCATCACTTTTCTGGATACATTGGAATGCTGTTCATGCGAGAGTCTAAAGTGGTAAGCATTTTTGTTTTATGATCGACAATAATGAAATAATATTAGAATATCCGATGCTGCAATATTACAAGAACGTCATCTATGTCTATTCGCCATTTCAAATGGCTTTATATGCACTTGCCGTTAGCGAGAAATTTAACCGAGATAAAACTTTTGGAATGGTGTTGCATGTATTTCATCTATATGGCTCGCTTTTGGGTATTGATCCACTATTTGGGCCAAAAGAACTGCAAATCTGATAATACTATTGTTGAAAATGTCGTAGGCGGAATCATTAAGTTTTCTTTTTACTTTTTGTGAGGTATGAGTACTATCCCCTTATTAACTGTAGCCCTGTTCTAAACTGCATCCGCACAATTATTTTTAAACTATTCAAACTACAGATTGGATCGGCTACAATCGTTCTTCCCGCAATGACGAAATTGGAAGAAATCTCAGATAGTGATTTAGGTCTATCTAATCACACATACATTTCGGTTTCATAGTAAGTGTAGCTCCATAGGTTACTGATCTAGCTACGTCTAATATGTGTTTACTAATAGATTTTTAATAATAGTGAAAACAGCAAAACACATCAAATTTCAAATAGTAATGTATAATATTTCCAGATGCAAATGGAATGCCGGCGGCGAAAATTCAGTTCACACCAGCGCAATTTTGTGGATGCCCGCGTTTACTATTGATGCATTTGGAACCTTTGTTCCCTTTTGTTATAATTACTGAAATAGTATAATGATGCAGATGGAAGTACTCCGCTCTCTCGGTCAGCACCTAACGATCACATCAAAATGTTCTTGGGCTAAGCTTAGTAACACCTCGATAACTGACTTGAATAACATGTAAGTTAAAGGTCTGCACAACAGTGACAAAACAAATATCAATATATATTTTTAAAAAAGAGGTGCAATACTATTTCTTGAAAACAATGGAATTTATAATAGTAGAACCTTGCCGACCTACCAAGAATATTATATTGGTTTGCAAAAAATTGATGTGACAATACAAATGCATACAATTGAAGTATCCAAAAGTAAATGTTTGAAAAAATTTATTTTATAAATATAAACATAAGTATCAGGAAATAGTAAAATTACTAGTGAAATATTTACAGAATATGACATATAGGGTATAATTAGCTTTATTAGCTTCATAAAATAATAAGCTCTTCTATATTCAATTCAATTTTGATAAATTTGGTTAATTTGTTAAATCTTCTTTCTGTTAATTGCATTTGGATTCATTTAACGATTATAGAACAATTATAAAGATTGTAATAATTTAACGTGCTGTCTATCTATCTTTGTCACATGCATTTATATAAATTTACTAGTTAACCCGGCAAACGTTGTTTTGCCATATAAATTATTTTTAGTTTCTAGAAAAATTCTAGTGTAGACAAAAAGTAACTTACATATTTATAGGGTGTGTGTAAGTATGGCAAACTTGATCCAACTAGAACTAATCGTGCCAAATACACTTAGGTAATAATTTATTGCTCTAAAATTTAGAATGAATTGCAAAATGTGTTGGTAACCGCATCACTCAACAATGCCTAGACCAATTTGGCTAATTCTTCTTTTTAAAATGTTCGTTAAAGAAAGTGGTTTTACGGCGACAAAAGTGGAATAATTACCGGGAAAATGGGGAAAAGCTGAAGTTTTCTTGTTTCAGTCGATTAACGAAACAAATTCCACAACCTTCTACGACTTATTTTTACGATTTATTATTGTTTTCTCTATTGAGTTTTTGCGCAAAGTGTTTTCTACTGAGTTTTCTTTTGTCACTGACAAACGAAACAAATTCCGCAGTTTTCGTTGGTTCATTTTGTTTGATTGTTTCATTTCGTTTTTTGTGCAAAGTGATTAATTATCTATGATCACTAAGTATTTACATATGACACAATTCGGGGTGTTTAATTGGGTCCCACTAATATAATTTGTTCTTAAGAGAAGGTGGCGTGGAAGCGCCTATCAATAACTGGTCTGTTCCTTTGGGAGAATTTTTTGCACCGACTTTATAAAACTAGGGGAGTACACTGAGATAGCAATATGATAATTGTAAACGTTACTGTACACTTTGATATATGCAATAATGGCCGAAACTGTGAAGGGAGGAAGAAGTCTTGTGAGAGTGAAACAGGACACCGACTTCAGTCTCATTTCCTTCGAGGCAGGATGAAAAAATTAAATTACCAAAATGGCTATAAAGAAGCTACTAGGGTTGGTGATAAAAGTAAATATTTAGAGTTGTATGTATTTTTTAATGCCATTGTAAAAACTAAATTAAATTTTTGATATAAAAGAAGAAGGGGTGATCAACCCCTTATCCTTGAAATTATGAAGAATAGATGAAAGTAGTTGATTTACTCCAGACAGACCTACTGAGCTACACTGCTCTCATTCCTTCGAGAGCGAGATAGAAAAATGATTAAATTACTAAAATAGTTACTAAAAAAATAGGGGTTGGTAAAAATACAAAATTGTTAGGGTTGTATGTATTTTTCATACTAAAAATAAAAACAAAAATTTTGAACAAATTTAATAAATATTTTAAGGTGAACAACCCTTATTACTTAGAGATATGAAGAATAGATAATATCCTCAGACCTATTGAAATACGCATAAAATTTTTCTTCGAGCACGGCATGAAAAATGATTAAATTACTAAAATGGCTACATAAAAGAAATAGAGGTTGGTGATAAAAAAATAAAAATTTAGGGATATGTATTTTTAATGCCATATAATAAAAAATGTAAAACAAAAGAATTTGTCCAAAAGATTTAAAAAAGTTAAAAAAAAAGGGTGAACAACCCCTTATCACTTAGGGGTATGAAAATAGATGTTAGCCGATTCTACTCCAAGACCTACTGAGGAATACGCATACAAAATTTGGTAAAATCAAACAAGCCGTTTCGGAGGTATGGAAACAAACACTGACACATAGGTACATATATATATGGAATTAAGTCATACATTATAATACAAATGATTAAATTGGATATTATTTTACATAAAAATGCAATACTTTAAACTAGATGCCACTAGGATGTACTTCCTCAAAAAAGAAATATGTGAACTACAGAAGATAGTAGAATTAATTCGAGAATAGATTTCTTATAGTTTAAAACATTTAAAAATTAATTAAATATCTATCTTCCTTAATTATATCAGCTGCATTCTCAGCCAATGCACAGAAGTAGGCAAATTATTATGCCCACACTGTTAAAAGTCGGAATTAGTACTGGAATCAGCAACCCTCAAAATAAATAGTCCTTGCCATATACGCGACGTGCGTAACTCAATGAATACCGGCATCAGTTTCGCATTAGAATACATCACATTCAAAATATCGAATCAGGAAATCGCACTTGCAATAAACGAGGTTGTACATAATAAAGGTTAACGATCTGATTGATCGAATCAATAACCACCTGGGCATCGTCACCTTCCTCAAAATGATGCAGAGAATAAATCTCGGCCGCCTTTTTGGGTACAAATCTTGAAGAAACATTTCTACGTGATACAGGGTGTAACAGTAGCAGGCAAAAACAATAGAACTATGCAACAGATTAGCGTCACGAAGTTACATTGTAAACTCTTCAATAATATTATTATTTTCTTTGGCGAATACGTAATCCATTTTTATATTTGAAATATTTATATTTATCTTCATAAACTTTTATATGAAGATGCCTCTGAGCAGAAACATGTCAACTCTACAAATTTAACCAAATCCAATATTCACGAAAAATTATAAATAAATATCTTTAATAATTCTAAATTTCTCAAAGAAAGCCTCAGGAAAGTCGGATCTTGAGTAAGAAACTCCAAAATGAATAAGTATCAGACTTATCAGTTTCTCCTTTAGTGTAAAAAACACGAATAATTCCTTCAATCAATATTGTTGTTCAAAAGGGTACCAATTGTACAAAACGCATCCCTCATGAGATTATACTGGAGGCATAGGGACATCAAGAATAATGTAAAAAACTGGCACGAATTAAATGATCCTCTAAATATTGCCCAACTGGGCAAGTCAGCATATACACAGGAATACCAAGTTCTTCCAAATGCTCCCGGGGACCTATACCACCGCTCAACATCAATAAGTCGCACGGTGACATAACTTGTATAATGGAGTATCTTAATAACATTCTCATGGGGTCTATCGAAGTAAAATTGCGCTATCGCAGCACCAGGGTCCTGCATAAATTGCGCCAGTAGTCAGTTCTCTTGAAGCTCCCCTTTAAAATATCAAGTTGTTCAGCTTTAAGCCCAGTCTACAGCGGTTTCTTGTAAAATGTAAAATTCAATGGGATCTGAAATGTTTTTACATTCTAACATCAGTATCAATTAAATATATATTGAGAATGTTGTTTCGGTTTACTAGTTTTATTCAATAATACAGGCGATCGGATCTAATTGTGGGTAGTTTACAACAGATATACTTGAACGGTCTGCATTTATTTCTTAGAACATACCCAGCGACTCAGTCCTTGTTGACATAAACAGAAAAACCCCCATCGGTGATGTGACTCCATGTCCACAGGGTGTTCTGCATATATTGTTATTGGTGCATGGTCATATGCCGCAATCTTACATATATAGGCTCTCCTGTTTCATCTATATATATAGAACAATCTCCATTTTCCAAGTAAGACTTGAATGTTCGGGTCTTCCACGTTAGACGATGCAGGTACACAACCGGCAGTCCACCAACAACAATAATGAAATAATAGCTTCTTAATATCACTCAAATAATCACTACAAGTAGAATACAGAATGGGTGTTTTGCGTGATTTGTGAAGTGTATCGGAGGTGTTACCAGCCCCAAAGAGTGATAAAAGAGGTATTTGCCGCCATTTTGTTTACCGCGGAAAGAATCCGGCAGATTGCATAGTCTCAAGAAATTTGTATTTTTGTAATGTTTGTAATTGTTATACATTGGAAACAATGGAAAAACGACGCAACCACAGCCAAATTCCGGACTCGTAGTGTCTTTTT